ATCAACTATTTATATTTATTTCATTTGGTAAATAAATATATAATTATAAATAAAAATAATAAAATCTATATTTAAACAAAATTTGTTCAGTATTTAATAATAATTAAATAAAATAATCGTTTATTTCTCTATTGATTTAATAATAAAAGTGGTGTATTAGATGAACGAGTTAATATAAGATAAATATTTATTTTCAATAAGTATATTAATAAGGATATATTGAACAGTTGTCAAACTAATCAATGATAATAATAATAATAATAATAATAATAATCAATTGAATTTATTTATCATAGAATTATTCTTGATATTTCTATTTCTATTTGTCTTGATGATGATGATTATTTTCATTTTTTAAATAAACGTTTCTTTATAGAATTTTCTCGTATAATTATATCCTGAATTTGTTCTAGGTGAACTCTTCTATTATAGATGATCTATCTCAACAATTACCAAGGTTTATTAATTAATTGTGAGAAAATTTCGTTTTCGTTTATATGAATATCAAAATAAATTTTATTCTTAGAAATAATAAAGATTGAATTTATTGATAATTCTGATTTATATATTGAATAGATAATGTTGATTTGAAGAATTTATTCTTTTAAATGTTTGTTGACGATAAATGAAAAATATTTCTAAATAATAATCGTTGTTAATCAGTTGTTAATATATAATTTGAAATAAAATAATCTTGAAAAGATTGATTTTAAAAATAGTGGCCATCATCAATCATATCAATAGAATTCTAATAGACGTTTTAAAATAGAAATTATTTTAAGATGACGAATAGGAAATCTATCAAAAATTTGTAAAGCACCATTCAATAAAATAAATCCATTATATAGAGACAACCTAAACAAAATGAATTTAAATAGGAATTTTCCTTTATCATCTAAGGTATCGACTATTTTAGAAAGTGAGTAAAATCGTTTCTCCTCATACTAGAATAGAGATCAATCAGTTAACTCCGAAAATGTGTTTTTTTTCTTATAATAGAACTTAGGAAATTTCGGTTTGAAAAAAAAGCCTATAAAAATTGTAATAGACTAAAAAGAATCAAGTTTGGTTAGTCCTCTATTTTTTTCACCAAAAATTCAATTTCGATCTGACCGTAATGTATGATACTCTCAAGTGTCATGTGCAATTCGAGACATCATTCGACTCGAAAACATCTCACTCTTATAGACGCGTTACTAAATTTAAGAAATTCTCTCTTTTATAAGCTCAAATGACGTGTATAACTTCGGCTAGTTTTCTTCTTCATGTAAGAGAAAAACGGCAGTTTTCTCAATTCTGTCTGTTTACAGACAGTCTCGAACGTTTATTCTATCGGGTTAATCGATTCTATCCGTTTCGAAGAATGATAAATGATCATAAAGCGATGTAGATACTCTTAATTGTATATGTCGAGAGTTATATTTATTGGGTAGTCGTCTATATTGAAACTAATATTATATATCGAAAATAATAGAATATAATTATGTTTGTATTTTATTTAATGATATTATTTCTGTGTCTGTTGGTTGTTGCATAATTGTTGATAATGATATTAATTGAGTTGTTAATAAATCTGTTAATAATTAAAAATAATGAGGTTGTTGGTTGTTGATAATTAATTTGAATATGATCGATTTGTTAAAATATTTCTATATTGATTTATTTGTCAATTGGGATTATTTATTTCGATTTCTAATATAAATAGATTGATAAGAAATAAATTCAATAAAATATTTTCTTCAATATTATTTTTTTATGAGAATAAATTAAATTATTTTTCTCTATAATAATGCATTATTTCATATTAATCTTTCATAAATACTTTCAATTGATATTTAGTTTTTTTTTTCATAATTATTATAATCATTTAATCGTTATAGGTATATAACGTCCTATACATAGATGCTTCGAAATAATCTAACAAAAAATGGTTGATTTTATAAATGTGTTGAATAAAATAAAGGTTGACAATCAATATGTTGACCATATAGCCAAAAATCTAAAGTTAGTGATGATAATTGATGAAATGATCGGATTAATATATAAGTTAATGTAACTTATTATCCAAAATCTCGAAGAAAATAAAGTTCTACCTAAGAGGTGATAAATTATAAATTATAAATTATAAATTGATATCTATGGTAAATATTCTCTCTCGATCATTGAATATAATTTAATATTTCTCGTGTAATATATATAATAAATAGTTCTTATCTATTGTTGTTGAAGATTTTCATAAACAATACGATATTAATTATTTGTTAATGTTACGATTTTTTGATAATGTCTTGTTGATAATGTCTTCTATTGTTAATCTTGATATTTATGTATGTATTAGATCAGGAAATAAATTTTGATTTCTTTTTTAATATTGATGTTTGTGTTGTAGCTGCGTTTATTTTATTTTGCAATTAATTTTAATTATTCTTTTTGTAAACTTTGTTTATCTTTAAATTTTGATGCTGAATGTGGTAACCATGGTGATGTACCAATTAAATTATTAGTTATTTGATAATCAATTGTTGTTGTTGTTGTTGATATTGGAAATGATGAAACAATTGTTGATGTTCTTTCATTTGTTGTTCCTGTTGAATTTATTGTTGTTGGTCAAATATAAAGTCTATCATGATATGTATTTATATTTGGTGTTGAAAATGAAAATTGAAATGTATTTGTTGTATTAAATGTTGATATTGATGGTGGATGGTGGATGGTGGTGGTATAGAATTTGATGTTGTTGGATTATAAAGATGATGTGAACTTGTTGTTAGTGTAACATTAGATGGTGGTGCATTTGTTGCTTCATACGTACGTTATGTTAATAAATGTGTCATATAAACACATTCAAGATGTGTCCGATCACTTGATGAATGCATTGTATAATTTAATGGTGTTATTTCAAATAGACCTGATATTGGTTTTAAATAAAGATTTGATGATGAAAGTAAATTTGGTAAAAGTTTTGATAATGCATTGAGAATATTTGTTGATGAATATAATGTATTAGGATCACATGGTATTATTGTTAAACCAGTTGTACCATAACGTGAATAAATACGTGGATGATAACAAGTATCATTTATATCAATTGTAGGTGATGTTTGAGAAGTATTTGTTGAATGTTGAATGTTGATGATGTTGATGTTGATGATGAATTTAAATTAGGTTGACGAAGACTACATTAAATTAATGTTGAAAGATCAACATCAAATAAATGAGCATCAAATGGATCAGCATAAAATCGAAATCTTAAGAAATAAAAAAAAACTAGAACAATAATTACAATTCCATGTGGTATATAGAGTTCATCGGGTCCGAGTTCAAGTCCAAAAAATTTTACCGGTCGGGTGAGAATACAACAAATTTTAGTCCATCGAACCCGAGTCCGAGTCCGAAAATGTTACTAATTGTTGCTGAGGGCAGTGAAAAAAGTTTGACGCGTGTATATACGAGTTTCGATGCACTAGAAAAATCTGTCAAACTGATAGAACGAGAAACAAATGTTTGAGCTTATCTAAGCCTGATGGCGTCACTGCCTATGCTATGTCATATGTTTGTTCGCGCTACTATCGGCATCTCTTATGATTTTTGGGTTCCAGCTGTAAACGATTGCAGAGTGTCTTCTATTCATATTCGAATTAATCGAGAAGAAAATATTTTACTAATAAAACTTCTTCCAACGCTATCTCAAGGGTTGACTCATAAATGCTGGTGGAATTTGTATTCTGTGTGTTTTCTTTATTGACTAGCTTTCTTTAAAATTACATCCGAACGTTTAATCTAACCTTCTCATTTAAAAAGGCAAGACTGACTTCTGTCTTAGTTAGAAACGTTCTCTAGTTAAATTTTTCATTAATATTAATATGTAAATATATTTACTTATTTCTTAAAAATTGTCTTTGTACAATATTAGTTTTTTGAATAATATCTGCTAATTGTAATAACCATTGTAAAAGAGTTTTGTATCAATTTGATATTGATATTGATATTGATTAGTCGATTGTCCAATAATAATAAAAAACCATTTTAATGCTGGTGATGATTTAAATCCAAGTAAATATTTCTCATATTGATTTGAAATAAATAAAAAAAATTTTCAATAAATTTTTCAATATGATTATCATTTTTAATAATCATTAATATTAATGTTGACATACGTTTAGCTATTGTTCTTGATGCATTTATAAATCTATGTTTTAAAAATGTTTCATTTAATAATAGAAATTTAATTTTATTGATTATTTTATTATTATTTGTCGTATAAATAATTTCAATTAATAAATTTAATGAAAATAAAATTGTTTTTTTTTTATTAATTTGTTGTTAAACAATTTATTGTTGAATAATCATATAAACGTAATAAACGTATTTGATGTTTTGTTGAATGTAATATTATTGATATAGTTTCAATAGTAAATAAATTTTGTTGTATTATTGTTTGATTTGATAATGATGAATATTTTGATTCAAGTACAAGACGAAAATGTTTTTATTTATATGTTAATAAATCATATGAACATAATTGTATAAGACCTTGATCATCTATAGGTGATTCTAAATAATAAATTAATGAATATGGACCATAAAGTATATCATTATTTGAAAAATTTATTTGAGAATTTAATTGATTAAATTCAATTGTTTTGATCAACATCATTTTGTTCATTTGAATAACGATATAATGTAACAAATAAATTTTTTTTATATAAATATTGTCGATTTAATCTATAACGAAATTGAATTGTATGTAATATAGATGATGTTGCTGTTTGTAAATCAAATATATCTATTGATGGTATTATTTGTTGATTATTTAATAATTGTTGTTGTTGTTGTTGTTGTTGTTGATGTATTTGAGGTTGTTGTAAACGGCATGTATGACGATCAATATTTGTTTTTGTTGTATAAAGTGTATCAATCCAATAGGATGAATTTACATGAGCAAAAAACAAAAATGTTACTGGTGATGAATAAAATGATGTAAATGATAAAAGTGAACGAAGTGTTGATATTGAATAGGAATTTGAATTTTGTTCATCACTAGGAGATTTTAATTGAGAAGAATGTATAGAAGATGTATTCATTCTTTCATCGGATTGTATATGAGTAAAATAAGATGGAAATAGATCACGAATATTGAACTAAAAAAAAAATAAAAGTAATAGATAAATTTTTTTATTTTAATATTTACGATTATTCTCGGATGTAAGTTAATTTATTTAATAGTTTTTCATGTTTAGTGTTTTAGATTTATTCTTCTTCTCGAATCTACTAGGCTTTTGATGGTGTATTATTTTCTTATCATAAATAGATCTAACGAGAAAAGTCTTCAAACTGATTAATCGCTCATAAGTCTAGGACTAAAGTCCGTCAGTTTGGTCTCGATTGAGTTTCGATTCGAAAATCTTGGATCAAGAAGGTCTATTCAGAATAATGTGCATCATGTGGACCAATGTGTCTTTAGAATATCTTAGAAAGAGTATGGATTCTCTAGTTTATTGATCCGTAGATTCTACAAATTTACAGTAATTTTTATATGAATATTTTTCCGATAAAGTAGAAAAGAATGAAGTTATGGTCACCATGGAGCACACAACTACAGATCTGCACGGAACTTTCTAATCATCAGTTGTAGAATTGCATATTTTTTGAGAAAAAAAAATATTTAATTATCACATTTTCAAGAGAAATATTTTTCTCTATAAATTAAGATTGTTTTTCCGAAAAATAATGTATCGTTATTCGTATCGAAGTTACAATGTGATTACAACACAACTAGGAGTGATCATAATCGAAACGTTTATGTTCGATTAGTTGAATTACAAAAATCGCACATGAGTTGTCATTGTCTTCGTTTAAATGAAAAAGATTTCTCTAGAGAATGTAATAATTGAATATTATTTTATTTTCTTTTTTTCACCAAAATATATTTAAGTCCTATGCACATACATATTTAGACTTGCTATATGTCAAAATCAATATTAAATAATTTTTTTTTATGTAAATAAATGAATTAAATTTTTTAGAAACCTTTTTAACACCATCATCAGTAATCGATGCATAAATTGTATCTGTACCTCTAACATGAAGACATTTTTCAATATTTCCAATTAATTGTCTATCTGCTAGAATACTAATATTATTATTTTCTTGATTATTATCTAAAGATAATGTACGATAAACATCATAAAATAATAAATGTCCAGATTTCAAACAAATTAAAAAACATTTTCGTTTTAATATTTTATTTGTATATTGTTCTTTCTTTTGATATTCATCATTAAAATTATTATTATCATTACCTTCATTTTCTAAATTTTCATCTTTATCAGTTATTATTGATTATTCATCATTATTTATTAAACCATCATCATTATCATCATAGAATACAATTGGATTTATTGAATCAATATTAATATAATTTGTTAATGACTGATATATACAATGATAAAAAAGTATTTTTAATGTTAATGTTATTTGATCATATTCAATAGAATAGCTATGTATACAATCAGTTGTGTTTATTAATAAAATCATTTTTATTTTAGTTAATTGATATAAAAAAGCTTGTTTAGGTATATATTTAAAATTTGAAGATTCAATTCAATAATCATATTTTTATTATTTATCTTAATTTGTTCATTTATTATTGTTGTTGTTTCAATTGATTCATCATTTTGTGTATTATTTGTTATTGTTGATTTACGTGATGGATTTAAATTTTCATATTGATTTAATCTTGTTGTTGTTATTAATATACATTTATTTGTTTCAATTAATTGTAAAAAACAAAAAATAATATAATTTTCATTATCATTTGTTATTGTTAATGGATATATTGTTAATGCAAGTGGATTTAATTTTAAATTAAAATAACGTTTTGATGTTAAATGATCAAAATGCTGTATAAATATTGTTTCATTATTATTATTATTATTATTATTATCTAAAGAAGAATTTTCTTCAGAATTATTTTCTGTTGTTAATTGTTCAATAAGATTTTTTAATGACATTATTGTTTTTATATGTATAACATTTGTTGTATCAACTGAACGTATTATCCAATCAGAATTTATAAATAATAATATATGTTCATTTAATATTATTTCATTAGATTTAATTAACCATTTTTGTTGTTGTTGATTTGAAAAAAATTTTCTTCTAGGTTGAATTGAACATGTTGTACGTAATGGAACATTTTCAGTAAAATCACCTTTTATAAATGGACAATGAGGAGAATGACGTCCATGTTCTGCCCATGGAGAATCAAATGGTTCCCAACAAACAAGTGTTACAGTACAAGCAAAACATAATGCACGATCATCATTATTTTTTAATGGTGAATAATAAAAACCAGCTTTAGCCATACTTTCCTATTTTGAAATAGAGATAAACATTTAATGTGCTTGAGTAGCTCAAATTTAGTCTGAGTTTTTGTTTCGAGAGAAATAATCTTATGTGTTACTTGTACTCAAAGTTCTTTTATGACTATTTCGGCACGTAGGTGACAGACCGAGTCTAAACAGTTCTATCTCGATATAATAGTCTACTTTTTATAAAATTAAAAATATTTATTTCTAATAAATTTAAAAAAAATATTATATGTAAAGTAATGAGTTTTGTGGAATTACAACGAAACTGATATAAATATGAATGTGAAGAAAATTTCGAAGCTTTATCTTCCTAGACCTGCTTGCATAGATCAGTAGTTTAGATAAATTGAACAGGTTAGAATAATGATTGTATACATAAACTTTTCAAATTGGATCGAAACTAAAACACTACTGTTAGTCATATAAAAAAATGTATCTCAAACTTTATATTACCATCTCTATTGCTAAGCTTGAAAACTGGACACCAAAATAGTCTTGACTTAAAACAAGACTCATTCCCTTCATGATTCAACCATGACTTGAAAATCTCAGTCGATTGGTTAGTATACGATTCCATTCCTAGAAAACCATCAGTTATTTCGTGCTTCTTAGCGACACACGAAAGGTGATTTACATCTACTTTCAATTGCTAAAAATTCTAAGAAACTCTCATTTTACTTGATTCTTATACAAAATCTCAAATAAGAATTTAACATACTGGTGAAAGCCATCGATAAGCTGCATGTGACCAAAGTGTAAATGTTCTATATCATGTTGCTTCACTAAACAATAAACGTTCACGTGTAGTTCGTCCACCTGTATTTAAAAACTACTTGTCGATGTTGTTACTGTTGATGATAATGATGATGGTGATGATGATGATGTTTCTAATGTTGAACCAATTTGTTCATCTCTATTTGTTGTTAATGACTTTTTATGATGGTAATATCTTGTTAAATAATCAAGTAAAAGACCAACAACAACAATACTAGGTAATGATGAATATGTATTTTGATTTTGTTGTATTTGTTGCTTATGTAAACGTAATATATCAAAACAAATTTTAATTACATTAACACATTCTTTTGACTATATTCTACTGGTTATTTGCCGTTCTCTTGTTTATGCTACTACACAATGAATCATTTTTTACTGACCAAATGATGAATCACTCAAGTTAGTTTTTCGTTCTCTTGTATATTGTACGAAGCATGTCTGAGAAAAAGAAAGATATTTCCAGTATTTTCTCCCTTATTCTTTTCTCTATATCGTTTTGTATATAAATACAACCGAATTTTTGGAGCACTTCACATGTCGTTCGAAAAAATCGATACAGAAAGTAGTGCTAGCTCATTCAGTGAAGTGAGTTCACTGAATGATGAGCTTGATACAATGTACCTTGATTTTGACAATTCTGACGAAGAAGTTACTGACGATGACAATGACGATAATATGAATTCATATACCTGGAATGAAATAGAACCAGAATCTGATGCAGAATTCTTGGAAGATCATGGGCTTATTGAGGATGTAACTTCTACTTCAGAAGATAACACAATCAATCCTATCAACTGCTATCGGCATTTCATTACCGACGAAATTATTGACCTTATGGTTCGTGAAACTAATCGATACGCACAACAATGCTTGCAAAGTCATGCGACCAGTAGACGATCAATGTTTCAACAATGGAAACCAACCACTAATACAGAGATGTTCAAATTCTTTGGAATAATCATTAAAATGGGATTAGTGCAGATGCCGAAGCTGAAGTACTATTGGAGCTCTAGTCAATTATATGGATCACAGATCATTCGAAATACCATGCCAAGAGAAAGATTTGAATTACTCCTCAAATTTTGGCATTTTTCGGATAACATCAACAAGAATTCGAACCAAGACAGATTGTTCAAGTTGAAACCACTCTTAGATTTACTAAAAGAGATTTTCATCAGTATATATGCCTGGCTCAATTATCAGTATTGATGAAAGTATGATACCATGGGGAGGCAGACTTTTATTCAAACAATACATACCTGGAAAAGCACACAAGTATGGCGTAAAGATGTACAAATTAGCGGCCACCAATGGATATGTTTGCAATTATGTAATTTATACTGGTAAGCAAAATTCGACACCAGGTGTCGGACATGCTCAAACAGTAGTAATGAAACTATTAGATGGTCTTGATGGATGTTATCGAACTGTAGTAGCTGACAATTTCTTTACTAGTATTTCTCTTGCAAAATATTTGTTAGAACATGATACGTATCTCATTGGAACATTACGAAAGAATCGTGTTGGATCAGGAAGTAGAATCCTTGAAGAAAATCTTATTTGTGGAGAAGTTTATGGACTTCAAAACAAAGATGGTATTAAATTAATCAGGTGGAAAGACAAAAACGATGTCTTGATGATATCTACAAGACCATCACATTCAGCAAGTGTAGTAGACAGTGGAAAATCAAATATTCAAAATGAGTCGATCAGGAAGCCTCAAGTTATATTAGATTATAATAAAGGAAGACAAGGTACTGATTTATCTGATCAACTATCAACATATTACACGCCTCTCAGGAAATCAGTAAAATGGTACCGAAAGGTAGCATTTAAATTAATTTTTGGGACGGCACTAGTAAATAGCTATTTGATATACAAGGAAAACTACAGTGAAAGCAAAGTGACTATCTTGCAATTTCGTGAAAGTCTTGTCCGATCTTTACTGCTTGGCACGTCAATCGAGAAACTGAAACCTGGTCCAAGACAACAATCAGCAAGTTCTTCAAAACGCAAACTAACCGATCACAAGCTTCAGGAAATAGAAACGTCTGCTCGCGATGTCCGACGACGTTGTGCTGGCTGCTATGAGAAAACTAGACAACAACAGTCAAAGGAAGCAAGTAATGCAACAACAAAAAAAATAAAAACTTTCTGTTCTGATTGTGACAATTTTTTTGCCTTGATTGTTTTAATGAAAAGCATTACGCTATGTAATAAATAATTCAGAAAATAGCGTAGCAGATTAGTTGACGCATTTCATGTATCCTTTTAGTAGTGGCGTATCTAGAACAGTGGCGACTCGCTGGCGGTGGGTGGGCAGTGGAAGGTGGCGCCGCTCTTTTTTTGCTTCTAAGTTTTCAATTGTGTGTTATTAATACCTGAAATTTTTATTATAATCTGGCCCTAACATGAACTACATCCACTAAAAATTTCAGGTTTTAATAACGCATAATTAAACATTTAAAAGCAAAAAAAGAGTGGCGCCACCTTCCACTGCCCACCNATTCAATAAAATACATTTCATTTTGAAAACAATCTAAACATGATTAAATATTCTCAATTTACAAAATATTACAATGATAATAACATAGATATGTAATTCTAAAGATGAAAAAGTTCATGATTATGAAGAATACTATTTTTATATGATCGTTATCGACAAAATGTCTTCGAAAATATATATAGTATAAAATACTTGAGATGATTTGATATATCTCTTATTTGTTTTACAATCATAATTCTCTTTATAATAAAATATTCGGAAAAAAAAAATTATTTCCTCTAATTTATGATTTAACTTACTTGACCATCATTAATTAAAATATGATTATCAAAAGTAAATTCAATAACATCAACTTCGTAAATATTTAATGATCGACAATCAAATGATAATAATAAATCACTCAATCGTGTAGTTTTCGGTAAAATACATTGTCTTTTTTGTCCATTAATATGTAAAATAAAATGAACATTTTCAACGGGTAATACTGATGAAGTTTTCTTTGGAATTGATGATTCATTTGTTGTTGATTTTGATGATAATTTTTGATGTTTAGTTAAATTAGATAATGAACTTATTGATTTTGTTGTTAATTTTCCTGTTATTGTTGATCGAAATGAAACTAATTCAGCACGTGGTATTTTTCTTCTATGATTATTATTAATTGGTTCACTTGATGCTTTTATTAAATAACTTTTATTTTTAATATAATTTGTTGCTGTCCATATATTAGCTTGTAAATAATTAAAACCAAATAATTTTTCAATTAATTGTCCAATATTCATTGATATTTGACAATCTTGAATTAATTTATGATAAAGTGAATTTCTTCGAAATGATGAATATTCACGTATATTTATTGGATAATCTCGTGTATTTATTAAACATTGTATATATTCATGTTTAAGTACAACTTCACTTAATATATATTGTAAATATCCAGTTAATGGACGATCTTGTTCAAGACGTTGTTCAGTTAAATAAGCTAAATAAGATGATATTAATGACATATTTATTTGATTTGTTGGACATTGTATAGATAAATTTCTAAGAAGTGTTATTAATTGTGTTAATAAAATCGATGGTGATTGTATAAATGATAATATATTTGGATTATTAAATAAATCAAGTAAATATTTCCATATATTTGATGCAATTATTGTTTTTGAAAACCATATTTGAACATTTGAATATTTACTTATTGTTATTAAATAATCAAGTGCATGATAAATTAATAATTGATTTGATGTATTATTTGATATATATTGAATTTGTTGATTTAATTCTTCAATTGATTTAATAAAATAATTATTTATTAATATTTCATTAAGAAATTCAACACTTAATGAACATATTTTTAATTGTTTAAAATATTCAATAAATGATTCATTTTTATTAATATAATTCATAACTAATAATGGTTTATGATGTGCTATAGATGGTAATAACCATGAATAATTTATTAATAAATGTTCTAATAAATTTTCATCAAATTTAAAATTATCTTCTTTTATTTTCCATAAAATATTATTAATAATTTGTTTCATTTGATCATTAATTAATTGATGTTGATTATTATTATTATTATTATTATTATTAACTATTTGATTATTATTAATAATTAATTGATTATCAGTACTAATTAATTGATTATTATTAATTGGTTGATTAATATTATTAATTAAATAATTAATATTTTTTTCATTAAAATTTAATTCTGATAAAATATTAAAATGATTATATGTAATTAAATATTTAATAAATAAATCAAATTGTTTATTCGTACAATGATTACCAATATAAATAAATATTTCATTAAAAATAAAATCATTTGTATGATAAAATTTTTCTTTAAGTATAAAAAGAAATTTTTCAAATAGATTATCATCTATATTAAATGAATTTTTTAAACATAAATGTATTAATTGTAAATAATGATTAAATGAACGATATTTATCAGATAATATCATTGATACTTGATGACTATTATCAATTATATTTGTATTTGTTGTTAAAGATTTTATTGATGAATACATTAATTTAATATCATCATCATTTAATGTTGTTACAATAGATGTATTAGAATTTTTACTATGTAATATTTGTTTACCATAAACAGTTGATATTAATGTTTGATATGGATGACTTGTTTGTTCAATAATTGTTTGTTGATCATATGCATAATAACCATATATTGATATTTGTTGTAAACCAATTGTATCATGATCAATTGGTTTATAAAAATGTATACGTAATTGTCTAACAATATCAATTTGTTTAGTTATAGATAAATTAATAATTTGTTGTCCTTGTGTATTTAATAAATAAGCACATGGTATAAAATAATAACCATCCGATGATATTTCACATGTTATTGATGATGGATATTGTGTTGAATTTGTATTTAATTGATCAATTATAGTATAATGATTAATAGATAATTGTGTAAATGGTACAATTTGTATTGATTTTAATATAATTGAATATGGAAATTGTAATGTTAATGTACAACGTTGTTCATTAGGTGAATATGTATATGACCATGGTGGTGAACGTAGACGACGTGATGATGATGTTATTGTTGTTGGAACATTACTATTTGATTGTATTAATATTTCAGGTGATGATGCATTTGGATTTGAACATGTTATTTGACATTGTGTTGATAAATTAATTGAACCAATATCCATAGTATTATTTAATGATTGTCTTTGATCATAAATACGTTGTATTGATGGTATTTGTGTTTGATTTGATAAATAATTTGAATATGTTATTAAATTATTAACTAATAAATCAAGAAATTTATATTGATTTAATACATCAAATAAAATTCTTGTATTATGTATTGAATAAATAATAAATAATAATAATGGTGATGATAATAATGGACTTGTTGTTAAATAATGACAAAGTATTGGTAAAAGATAATTTGGTTGAGATATAAATGATGATAAACAATAATAAATACTATCACCAACTGATATTAAATCATTTAAATTTAAATGTATTGTTGTATGTATAAATGATGAATATTGATTTGTTGATGTTATTGATGCAGCAAGAAATTTTGTTGAAGAATTTAATGATATTGATGATGATGAATCAAGTGATGAATGACACATTGAAAGTATTGAAAGAAGTTTTTCAATATAAATTGATTCAAGTATATCATCGGAATATTCATCTTCAATTTCATTTAATTTTATATTAGATTCTTCATTTTTAAAACGTTTACGTTGTTGATCATGAGATTGATTTGTATTTTCCATTAATTTTGTTATTAATAATATCATTTGTCGTACACATGTATCATGTAAATTACATTGTCGACGTATTGATGATGATTTTGAATTTGTTGTTGAATCATTATTATTTGTTGCTGTTGTTATTGATGATGATGATTGATTATTTTGTAGAGAAATTTTATTAACTGTATTCATTAGATGCCATTTATTTACAGATGATGGAGGAATTAATGAACTTGTTGAAGATGATGATGAAGATGAAGATGAAGATGATGTTTGTCGATGATGAATTCGATCATAATTAAGAAAACATATTAATGGATGAATATCCGTTTGTGTAAATGATAATGGTGAATATGAATAACAAAATGACCAAACAAAATCAATTATATTACGACAAAGTTTTAAACGTATTGATGATGTTGCTTGGGAAAAATTTTGTTTAAAAAGATAGGTTAAAAATGTTAAATGACAATTTAGAGGACCATGAAAACCATTGCTTATAAGACGATCAAGAATAGATAAAAGAGTATTAAGATAAAGACTATTGACATTAGGTAATGATGACGATGGAATATCTTGAGATTGATTTGATTCATCTAAGAACGAAAATTTTTAAAAGTTAGTTGTTTTTTAATTCGAAAACAAAAATATTCATCAAGGCTTAAAAATCTACCATAATCATAGAAAAGAAAAGCTTACGCGCCACTACCACTACGATATAACTTTTCTGATAGAAAGATCAAATTGATAATATTTTGCTACTTTGTCAAATATATACAGAGACGTGCAGGATCCGAATCCGAATCCCTCTGTATAGATCCGGTATATCTCGTCTAGTTCTGGTGATGGTCATAGCATCGTTTACTATCGGATTCCGGTCTCAACATGTTACTAGTCATAGTGAGGATCTTGGTCCGGTACCAATCATAGCCCTGGTAAAATTAGTCTGATCCCGGGCCTCACTCAAAGGTTCGTTCGGTCACAGTATAGAACAAACTATTCCTAAATTTATCTGTATAATATCTAAAGAGCTTCTTTCATAGTCGTTTTTTGATTCAGTCGACGATTGGCACTTTCATTTGAATTACCTATCTTGTATTATGTTCTGCTTGAGAAGATTTATAAGATAATTTGCTTAAAAACATTGTATATTTAACTACAGTCTTTAGTAGTGATTGAAGCAAATTTTTTTTTCTCGTAATTCCAGTCATGCACATCCTCTATACGTACGAAATAATGAAGAGATTATTCGAAAAATTATTTAATAAAAAGAATGTCTTTGAAAGTTATCAACAGAGATATCGTTAAATAAACTCAAATTTTTGAATTTTCTTTAAAAGATCAAAAAACATATTTCTTTTTCTTTTATAATAAATAATTTTAAATAAATTCTTATATCCATAACTTAAATTAATTGTTAATTAAAGAAAAATATTAATTATAAACCTTACCTGATATTGCTACTCGTTTACTTAATTTAATATTTTCCGTAATATTTATATTTTCATCATCACACATAAATAATCTTTCAAAATAATTAATAATAATATCAACTGTACTTTCATCAATCATATCTTGTGTTGTTTGAATAAATTTTAACCAAATTTTAGCAAATAAACTATTATCAATATCACCTTTAAACCATAATTGTTTCATTTGTTTAGCATAATCAATATTTGTACTTGTATAATATAATAAAGAAAATAAATGATGCCATAAACGTATTGTTACTAATGATGATTGTAATAAAAATTTTAATAATTTATCTAATGTATCAATTGACATAATAAATAATGGTTTTAAATTAATATTAATCGGTGGTTGATTATTATTGATTGTTTCTGTTTGTATATTTATTTGTTTATGATTTAAATTTTTAGAATAATTAGCTAATGATATAATTAAATAAGATGATAATAAATGTTCAATTTTATTAAATAAATCATATGATATAAAATGATTTTGTTCAATAAAATAACATAACATATTTTGATAAATTTCATTTAATAAATCAATTGTTGTATATGAAATATTGTTTTTAAATTCATATTGATTTATATCATTTAGTTTTATATTTAAATTATAATCAATTGTATATTGATTTAATTGAAATAAATTTTTATTTAATAATGTTTGTATTTTAAATGATTGATTTATTGTAAATAAATCAAATATAAATTGTATATTACCATCAAGACGATTATCAATTGAAAATGGTATTATATCATAATTTAAATTATTTATTATTGATGTTTGTTGTTGTTGTTGTTGTTGTTGTTGTTGCTGTTGTTGTTGTTGTTGATGATGATATGATGATGATTGACTTAAAAGTATTAAAAAATCTTCTGTTGTTGGATATAAAATATCTTGTTCTGATGTTTTATTATTTTGAAATTGTACAAGAAATTGTTGTGTATTATTATTTGATTTTTTTTTAGATTTTTTAAATGCTGGAAAATGTTTTTTTTTATGTTCATCATTTAATTCTTTATCATCATCAATATCAATATCATCATTATCATCATCATTTAAATTAATTTCATTTGGTAAATATATTTCATTATCAATAAAATCAATTAAAAAATAATTAAATGCATATTTTAACCATATTTGTTCTGTATTTAAAATTAATTTAATTAAATTATCTTTATTTATATATTCATGTAATAATAAAAATGGTTTACATGAACGACTTATATCAGATAAAGATTTACATATTAATATAAATAATTCATTTGATAAATTTTTATTTTCAATTAATATTTCAATGAGATATTTTGATACTTGTAAAACTAATGAATGATAACAATAATAATCAATTGAATTTGTTGGTGAAATAATTATTGTTGATGTTTGTGTTTGTGTTGTCAATGTTGTTGTTGATGTTGTTGTTGATGATGATGATGATAATGTTTTTGTTGTTTTTTTTAATAAAGTTTCTTTACGTAATTTTCGACGATAATTATTTGCTGAATTTGTTATACGTGGACTTTGAATTATTGATGATGTATGTAAAAATTGCCAATGTTTATTAATTAATTGTGAAAAATTTGTTTTTTTATTTGTTTGTTCATATGAATATGGAAATAAATTTTTTTCTGATAAACGATAAAGAAATAATAATAACCATTCAATTGATTGATAATTATTATTTGTATTTAATAATAAATTATATATATTATTTATATATTCAATAGCTAATAAACGATTATAATAAATAGTTGTTTCATTTGAAGAATTTATTGTTAATAATGTTTGTTCACATAAATCAACAAGATTTATAAATAAGGATTGTTGTTGATCACTTGTTAAAATATCATTTGAAAGAAAATAACGTTGAAAACATTCTTTAACAAATTCTGGCCACCATGAATGATATGAACATAATTGTAATAGACGTTTTGGCATGTCAATTATTTGTACATGACGAATAGCAAATGTATCGAATACTTGTAAAGCATCATTTAAAGAAATAAATGATGAAGATGAAGACGAACTAAAAAAAAAACGAATTTTGTTTTCGGTCACAGTGGGATAGAGATCGGTGAATTAATTTAGAAAATATTTTTCCAACTAAAGATTGAAAAATTAACTTTTAAAATTCAGAAAAGCTTTTTAAAATTGAAATACACCTTGAATAATCTCAAGAGTGCCTTCTCTTTACTGACCAAAACTCGATTATGAGCTAAGCATGAGGTGTAACAGTCTCAAGTGTTATGTGGAACTAGAGCGATCATTCGATTCTGATCAACTTTACTAAATGTCAAAAATATTTTTTTCATAATAATTATATTGAAGTTCTTTTCTTTTACTCATGAGAGAATTTCCGAAGTGAATACCCACCATTTGAGCTCGTATTCGGTTTATAAAAAGGTCTTGGTAAGACTAGAAAAATTCTAAAAAGAAATTTCATCCCCGTGAACTTCTGGAGCCCAATTATGACTGTTTTACTCAATTGTTACCCATCAACAGATCAAATGACTAGTAGAATATCCTGAAAAATTTAGTCGAAACGAATAACTCTTTGTCGAGATATTCAATTTCCAAAAAATGTTCGTTTGCTACAAAAAAAAGAGTTTACTTGAAAAATTAATACTTCGACGAAAGAAGATTGTTTTCGGCCGAAACTTTCAGGATATTCTACTAGTTATTCGATCTGTTGATGGATAAAAATTGAGTAAAACAGTCATAATTGGACTTCAAAGGCTCACGAGAATGAACTCTTTTAGGATTTTTCTAGTTTTATCGAGATTTCTTTGTGAACCTGATATGAGCCCAAATGGCGGGTATCACATTATGCAGTTCCCCTCGTTAGCCGTAACACATCAGGATACTGTCTGACGGAAAATCAGAATTTCCCATGAAAAGTCACGAAAAACTTCTTGAAATGTTTTTTTCTCAAACACGTATCTCCATATTTTCATATCATATATCGAAAGAATAGAATTGAATATTGTTATATTTATATGAAATTAATTACCTATCTGTTTGTTGCATCATTCCTGATAATGATGTTAATTCACTAGTTAATAAATCAGCTAATAATTTTAAATAATCATATGTTGGTTGTTGATTATGAATTTGAATATGATCCATTTTTAAAAGATTTCTACATTGATTTATTTGTCTATGAGCATGATTAATTTGTATTTGTAATTGAATACATTCATGATAAATATTTTCAATAAAATTTTTTTCAATATTATTTGTTGATGATAATAAATTAAATAATTTTTGTCTACATAATGCATAATTTGATATTAATGTTTCATAAATACCTTCAATTGATTTTAATTTTTTTTCATATTTTTCATTATTATTATTATTATTATTATTATTTATATTATCATTATCATCATTTAATATGTATGGATAACCAAAAAAGTATCCAACAGGTAAACGTATTGATGATACAGATATATTTGATTGTCCAATTAATGTAATACGTAAATAACGTGCTATTATAGCTGGTTGTAAATCATGTAAAAAGAATGGTTGACTTGATATATGTGTTGAAGAAAATAAACGTTGACAATCAATATGTTCACCATATGACCAAAAATCTAAACTTAATGATGCTAATTCATAACATGATGGTATTATTATATCAGTTAATGTAACTTGTTGTCCAAAATCTAAAACAAAATAACTTCTACCACCACCTGATAAACGATCAATTATAAATTGATATAATGGTAAATATTGTCCATGAAGAATATTATTTGATACTTGTGTTAATATATCATCAATTGTTATTATTTGTTGTTGTTGTTGTTGTTGTTGTAATTGTTGTTGTTCAAGATTTTCATCATCAATAGAATTTTTATTATTTGTTAATAAACGATTTGTTGATAATGTTTGTTGATTTTGTAATGCTAATGTTGATTTTGTTGTATGTATAAGATCAGTAAATAAATTTGAATTTTTTTTTAATATTGATGTTTGTGTTGTAGCAGCTTTATTTTTTTTTGCAATTAATTTTAATTTTTCTTTTTGTAAACTTTGTTTATCTTTAAATTTTGATGCTAAATGTGGTAACCATGGTGATGTACTTATTAAATTATTATTTATTTGATTATCTAATGTTGTTGTTGATGCTATTGGAAATGATGAAACAATTGTTGATGTTGTTTCATTTGTTGTTGTTGTTGCTGTTGGATTTGTTGTTGTTGGTAACATATAAAGTGTATCATGATATGTATTTATATTTGGTGTTGGAAATGAAAATGGAAATGTATTTGTTGTAGTAAATGTTGATATAGCCGGTGGAAGTGGTGGTGGTGGCATTGAACTTGATGTTGTTGGATTATAAAGATGATGTGAACCAGCTGTAAGTGTAACATTAGGTGGTGGTGGTACATTTGTTGCTTCATATGTTCGTAATGTTAATAAATGTGTCATATCAACACATTCAAGACGTGTACCATCACTTGATGAATGCATTGTATAATTTAATGGTGTAATTTCAAATAGACCTGGTATAGGTTTTAAATAAACATTTGATGATGAGAGAGAATTTGGTAAAAGTTTTGATAATGCATATTGAATATTTGTTGAAGAATATAATGTTTCTGGATCACATGGAATTATTGGTAAACCAGTTGTACCATAACGTGAATAAATACGTGGATCATAACAATTATCATTTATACCAATTGGACGTGATGATTGAGAAGTATTTGTTGAATTTGATGATGATGATGATGATGAATTTAAATTACGTTGACGAAGACTACATTCAATTAATGTTGAAAGATCAACATCAAATAAATTAGCATCAAATGGATCAGCATAAAATCCAAATCTTAAGAAATAAAAATCAATAATAATTACAATCACAGATCGTACGTTTTTTCATACTATCGTCGATAACTAGACTCGATTAGGATTCTGTTAACTAGTACACACCGCTTGGACGCATTAAAAAACGACTCAATCCAATCAGTTCTAATAGACGTTAGAAATATTCGCTCATTTTGATAGAATACATCATTTTCAAAAAAAAAATGCTCGTCAGTATAGCGTACATTATATCGATTGAAATACCCGCAGTAATTATCAAAATATTCAAAGAACGAGATCATTTAACTGTTTACTTCCTTGGTACTAATTTTAGTAGAGTAAATATTGAGTCATCCACAGGAGTAGGTTTATACAGGTGCTGATCACTGGCACACTAGACTAAAAAATTGGCATTGAAATCGTTAAATCATCCAATAGATATAAAAATTCTTAAATCTATGCCGAGAAATCTTCTATTTTTCATTCTTGAGGCTAAAACTGTGTTTTTAGTATTGTCACATTATCGCATCTTTCGTTTAAATAATTTAATAATGAAAATTTCCTAAAATATAGTTAAAATGTTCGTATTTATCTGATGATGTAATGGTTTTGGTGTTCACATAATATTTTTGGAATCCAATCGGAACCATTTTTTCTCATTTTTCAGTAACCGGAACCGGAACCGAAGCGTTATTTCCGGCTTAGCGTATTGTTGAAATTACTGAATTCTAGGTCAGAGAGAGAGAGAGATCAATTCCCTTGCAAAATATAAGTATACTTATTTTTGTACGAGATTTCTCTTCAACTGATATCCTCTGTTTTAAATCAGATTTTCTTCATAACTAAGATCCATAGTGTAGATCAAACTTTTAAAATACTTAAGCCTTTCTTCTCGAGTTATGATCATTAATTTACTAAATCCTCACGTTTTTTACGAAAAACAACTGTAATAAGTCTTCATTTGAAATTTTCCTCAATTATAAATTTGATAGTATGTAAAATATTCTGAAAGTTTTAACAGAAACAATTGAGTTTTTCTTAAGATAGAGAATGCCTAAAAACATAGAAAAAAGAATTCAATAGCTTAATCAAATATTAACAGAAACTTAAATTCTTTTAGAGTTTTTATTATAAGACTATATAGTATTTGTAAGGAAAAAGATCATTAAAATTGGAAGGAAACAATTGAAAAGGTTCTCTCGTAAGCGAGTGAAAATGCATTTGAAACGAAATAAACACGAAAACGTTTCTCGCACAGGAGATTATTTTTTAGTCTTACCTCAAAAGGAAATTTTGAATACATATCCGAAAAGAGCGATGCAATCTGTTTCGATCTAATTATACTTCTGGTTCTCGAAAACTGCTGTTAAGTGATCGAAAAATCTATGAATATTTTATGCTAAGATTTTCGTGTTAGTTAGAGAAATTCTTTCGTTATATCTTTAATGTTTAAATATATTTACTTATTTCTTAATAATTGTCTTTGTATAGTATCAGTTTTTTTAATAATATCTGCTAATTGTAATAACCATTGTAAAAGTTTCGTACCAATTTGATATTGATATTCATTAGTCCATTGTCCAATAATAATAAAAAACCATTTTAATGCTGATGATGATTTAAATCCAAGTAAATATTGATTATTCATTTGAAATAAATTTAAAAAATTTTCAATAAATTTTTCTATATCATTATTATTTTTAATAATCATTAATATTAGTGTTGCCATACGTTTCGCTATTGTTCTTGATGCATTTATAAATGTATGTTGTAAAAATGTTTCATTTAATAATAAAAATTTAATTTGATTTATTATTTTAATATTATTTGTTGTATAAATAATTGATATTAATAAATTTAATGAAAATAATATTTTTCTTTCATTTTTTGTTGTTAATATAGTTGATGTTAAACAATTTATTGTTGAATAATCATATAAACGTAATAAACGTGTTTGATGTTTTGTTGAACGTAATGTTATTGATATTGTTTCAATAGGAAAGAAATTTTTTTGTTGTGTTGTTTGATTTAATATTGATGAACATTTTGATTCAAGTACAAGACGAAAATGTTTTGATTTATATGTTAATAAATCATATGAACATAATTGTATAAGACCTTGATCATGTATAGGTGATTCTAAATAATCAATTAATGAATATGGACCAGCAAGTATATCATCATTTGAAAAATTTATTTTAGAATTTAATTGATTAAATTCTATTTTTTGATCAACATCATTTTGTTCATTTGAATAACGATATAAAGTAACAAATAAATTTTTTTTATGTAAATGTTGTCGATTTAATGTATAACGAAATTCAATTGTATGTAATATACATGGTGTTGCAGTTTGTAAATCAAATATATGTATGGAAGGTATTATTTGTTGATTTATTTGAGGTTGTTGTAAACGCCATGTATGACGATCAATATTTGTTTTTGTTGTATCAAGTGTATCAATCCAATAGGATGAATTCACATGAGCAAAAAAATATGTTACAGGTGAAGAATCAAATGATGTAAATGATAGGAGTGAACGAAGAGTTGATATTGAATAAGAATTTGAATTTTGATCATCAGTGGAAGATTTCAATTGAGAAGAATTTATAGAAGATGCACTCGTTCTTTCATCAGATTGTAAATAAGTAAAATAAGACGGAAATAGATCACGAATATTGAACTGAAAAAAAAAAAGTACACCAGTTAAGTTTTTCAGTTAATTAATCGTGTTCGTTCTTCGATATAACAACTCATTTGAGCAGTTTTTTTGTATAGTCATAAAAAAATATTTAGTGCTAATGAGGAAAGTCTCTTGACTGATTAATCGGAACTATGTGCATCATGTAGATCTAAATGAGTTTTAAATATCCTGAAAAGCTATTCGGATTCTTAGCATATTAATGCGTAGATTCTACAAGTTTAGGGTAGTTTTTAAATGAATATCGTAATCCTCCTTAGGAACATCACGAGAACTAATTTTCGAATTTCAACTGGAAACTTTGTACAAAGAAAGTAATGTCCTTGATTAGGATGCTGGATCATTATGGGCTTTGTTCGTGCCCCAACCGGTCACTATTTCTAGCATTCCGAACATAAAAACACTTTTTGTGAGAATTTTTGGACTTTCTGTCGAATGTTTAGCCGACACCCAACCCCTAAAGAGAATCAGCACTGCTAAGAGATGTTTTTAAAGAGACTAGTTTCTAGTGTGAATGTTTCATATCTTTTGCTTTGCTTACATTTCGGAATCAGAACATAGACATTGTCGTTATATAGAAGCGATGTAAAACATACACTTTTACCACCATAGTTGTATCTTAAGCCAGGAACAGCAACTTTGATCTGACACATTCACGAGAAACTATTCTCATTAAGGATTATGTCTATGCAAAAGTTTCAATTCAAAGCTTGATATTGAGCTTTCCTAAGCGAAACCGCATCATTCATTGAAAAACTACTGTAAAGATACAATATTTCGCCAGTAAGAATCTAACATCCTGAACTATTTTCCGGATATTCATAACTTATTTGATTCTACTTAATACACGTAGTTCTAACACAAAAACGATGTATTAGTTAAGAACAAAAAAAGTCAAGCTCTGCATTCCTATGGATCTTACAACCAAAGATCAACGTGAAAGTTTCTGATTTCTAGCTGAAAAATTCAATATTTCTCATTCTAAATGAAAAAGACTTCTCTACAAAATGTAGTAGCTCAATGTTGTTTTACGTTCTCTTTTCATAAAGCATATCTGATTCTTCACAACCAGAGCTAGAAAGTTCCATACATATTTCTAGATCTGTACTATGACAAAACAAATATTAAATAAAATTTTAACACAAAGAAATTTCCACAAACCTTTTTAACACCATTATCATTGATCCAAGCATAAATTGTATCTGTACCTCTAACATGAACACATTTTTCAACAATTCCAGTTAATTCTCTATCTGCTAAAATACCAATGGTACTTTCCTCTTGATTAGTATCAAAATATATTGTACGATAAACATCATAAAGTAATAAATATCCTGATTTAAAACAAATTAAAAAACATTTTCGTTTTAATGTTTTATTTAAATATTGTTCTTTCTTTTGACATTCATCGTTAAAATCAATATTATCATCACCTTCAATTTCTAAATTTTCATCATTATCACTAATCATTGATTGTTCATCATTATTTATTAAATCATCATCATCTAATATAATCGGATTTATTGAATGAATATCAATATCATTTGTTGATGATTGATAAATACAATGATAAAAAAGTATTTTTAATGTTAATGTTATTTGATCATATTCAATACAATATCCATGTATACATTCAGTTGTATTTATTAATAAAATCATTTTTGTTTTTGTTAATTGATATAAAAATGCTTGTTTAGGTATATTTTTAAAATTTGAAAATTCAATTAAATAATCATATTTATTATTTGTTTTAATTTCTTCGTTTACTGTTGTTTCAATTGATTCATCATTTTGTAGATTATTTGTTATTATTGATAAACGTGATGGATTTAAATTTTCATATTGATTTATTGTTGTTGTTGTTATTAATATGCATTTATTTGTTTCATTTATGTGTAATAAACAAAAAATAATATAATTTTCATTATCATTTGTTATTGTTAATGGATACATTGTTAATGCAAGTGGATTTAATTTTAAATTAAAATAACGTTTTAATGTTAAATGATCAAAATGTTTTATAAATATTGTTTCATTATTATTATTATTATTATTATCAGAAAAATAATTTTCTTCAGATATATTTTCTGTTGTTAATTGTTCAATATGATTTTTTAATGATATTATTGTTTTTATATGTATAACATTTGTTGTATCAACTGATCGTATTATCCAATCAGAATTCATAAATAATAATATATGATCATTTAATATTAATTCATTAGATTTTATTAACCATTTTTGTTGTTGTTGATTTGAGAAGATTTTTTTTCCAGGTTGAATTGAACATGTTGTACGTAATGGAACATTTTCAGTAAAATCACCTTTTATAAATGGACAATTAGGTGAATGACGTCCATGTTCTGTCCATGGAGAATCAGATGGTTCCCAACAAACAAGTGTTACAGTACAAGCAAAACATAATGCACGATCATCATTATCTTTTAATGGAGAATAATAAAAACCAGCTTTAGCCATACTTTCCTATTGTAAATAGAAACAAAAAAACTTCGTTAATGAAATATTTTATCCTAATCAAGTAAAATAATGTAATATTCAATAGTATAATTTACTATATTTTGCTTTCAGATTTCTAGAATGAATATACAAAACTTACAAATACATTAATAATAATTCAAGTGCGGTGGAAACTTGCTAAAAACTAGATGCCAATTAGATACAAATAGGTATGTATCGTGCTCGAGTATAGCTTAGAGTTAATTTGGATTTTTCTCCCAAAAGAAATTACTTATGTGTTGCTTTTACTCAAATTTCTTTAATGATTTTTTCAACACGTAACTGACAGATTGAAACCGAGTAATTCTATCTGGATACAAAGTACTGTTTTCGACGTATTGTAGTAGTATTAAAAAATTTTGTTTCGAATAAATTTCAAATGCATGATAAACGATACAATTTCCGATCCAGTGAAAGTTGTTTGAATATGATATGTTAAATAATGAGTTTTGTTGAGTTACAATGAAACTTTTGTTTTTGACAAAAATGTAATCTTCACATTGATTTTACTGTATCAAAAATATTTTTTCTGTCAGTTTATAATGCATGAAATATTTCCAATAATTTAACGAAATTCTTTTCTTTTGCAAGAACATCACAACAGTATAAATATCGATGTGTAGATTTTTCTTGAGATTGATAGTAAAAATCTCATGATTCTATTTTCTTTGTTACCAACTGAAGACAACACAAAAAGTTTCTAAACTTCATCATTCTCAAGCTGCTTATACAGATTGGCAGGTTAGATAAAAATGTATTAATTCAGAATAACCATTGTATATATAAATTTCCCAAAGCCAGGTACGAACAGAAGCGAAACTAAAACACTACTATTGCTCATATTAAAACATGGCTTGTCAACTGGGTAAAACTTAATATTAACTAAAAATAAGACTTATGACCTTTATGATTTAACAATAACTTGAAAATCTCAGTTGATTAATTAGTATATGATGTTACTCTCAGAAAATGGTCAATTGTTAACTGATACATAAGAAAGTTGACGAGGATAATGTATACATCTCGTTTCAATCGCTAGAAATCATCTATGTAGACTTACAATCTCATTACTACAAAAGTAAATATTTTACTTGATTCTTATAATAAATTTCAAATATGAAATACAGTTTGACTTACTGGTGAAAGCCATCGATAAGCTGCATGTGGCCAAAGTGTAAAGGTTCTATATCGTGTTGCTTCACTAAACATTAAACGTTCACGTGTAGTACGTCCACCTGCATTAAAAAAGCTTCCCGACGATGTTGTTGTTGTTGTTGTTGTTGTTGTGGTTGTTGTTGATGATGATGATGAAGGTGATGATGATGTTTCTAATGTTGAACCAATTTGTTCATCTGTATTTGTTGTTAATGATTTTTTATGATGATAATATCTTGTTAAATAATCAAGTAAAAGACCAACAACAACAATACCAGGTAATGGTGAATGAGTATTTTGATTTTGTTGTATTTGTTGTTTATGTAAACGTAATATATCAAAACAAATTTTAATTGCATTAAGACAATCATATGAAAATTGTATTAAATTCCATAATGATGATGATGTATGTTCATCAAATTTCTTTTTTAATACATCATTAAATTCTCCGATATGATTTGATATTGATAAATCTAATGTTGATAATAATTGTAATAATAATTGTGCATCACCATATGTTAACTCAATAAAAACATGACAATTTTCATCATTTATTGACCCAATAATCGAGTCAAGAAAATAAAGACCTTGATATAATTGTCTGACATAAATATGTGTTGATGTTAACAAAAGAAATTTATCATGACATGATATTATTTCATAAAATTCATTTGTATTATTTAATGGTAATGTACGATGAAATAATGTTGATAATTGATCAGCACTACGAACGATTATTTCTTGTTTATCATTAAGATAAATTAACGAGTTTAATGATGGATTATAAACTATTGAACGTAGATGATTTTCAACATTGGTTGTTAATAATTGATTTTCATCAGTTTTAGAATTTGTCGCCATAGAATACAGTAGATAAAAAAGATAGTTTAAATTAAACTAACCATAAATCTGCAAATAAATAGAAATAAATTTATACTAGAGTTTTCTATAAGAGAAATAAATTATTTTTCATTGTGTAATAATGATTCATTAGATTGGAAGTTATTGTCCAATTAGATATGATTTATTACAGACATCTAACTACAAAAATAAATGAAAAATTTATTTTCTATTGGTACATAAGAATTTATTTTATTTAAATAAATTTTATATAGTTTATTGAAATCATGTGTTGGTAATGGACGACATCTGGCAATAGTATTTCTTATGATGATTATTACTTGAAGCAAAGATGTAAAATTGTTTATTAATTGTTGGCTCAGAATAAATGTCATCCTAACAGCTTCGATATTTAGGTCTAGTTAAATGTTTCTAACAGTGTTGCTGGTAATTTCATCAAACAGTTAACATTTAAGAGCTTGTTGTATGAATAAATAGTAGAATTTTTTGTCGATAATAATATATAGAATAAATCTATTTTGTATCTATATCTAGTTTTGATATTCTATTAGATAAACTCCTATTCGAATACAAAAAAAAAAAATTTTGAAAAGACTATTAAAATCTCGATTATTTTGAGAATACATGCAAAAACAATTAACGAATAACTTGTAAAAGTATTGGAACCTAACACTGTATCATATCGAACAATTTCAAGGTGGGGAAAATGTTTTTATGCAGGAAAATACGATGTCAATGATAACTCGCGATCTGATGGTCTAGTTTTCGAGCTGACAATAATGTTATAGGTGAGACTTCTTTCTCTTGTAATAAAATAGAACGAATTATTCATGATTTGTCTAAAGATGAGAACAGTTACATCCAATTGGGTGCCTTATCAACTCAATGATGAACAAATTAGAATTTGTCGTGAAAACTTGGCAAAGTTTCGTGATGGATCATGTCGATTATATAATATTATTACAGGCCATGAGACATGTATTTACCATAGACAAGCTAGGCCCAATAACATAAGTTGGACGAGTGAAGATGAGTCATCAACAACTCTTGTTTGCCGAAGTGGATTGGATCCAACAACTTTGTTTTTTATATTCATTAAATAAAATGGTTCTGTGCTTATACATAGTGCAGATAAAAACAATATCAGAGATTATAACTATTCAATGGAAAATTGTTCCAAGCTCGCCGTCAATAATATATGGAAATAAAGAGATAGCTGTCACAAGCAATAGGTATAAAATTATTTAAGGGTCCACTCTAAAAAATGATCTCATCCCAGGAACGTTCAAATGATATGAAATTTTCCGAATATATTGGGACTGTTGTAAAAAAAAACTGATAAAATTTTCAGTCGGATATCAAAATATTTGAGAGAGATATTGGCCCAACAAGAGTCAAAAATAGCTTATTTGGCAACCCAAATGTCGCAGTCCAGGTCGATGTGATGTATGTAAATATTTTTTTTCGCTTGAAAGAGCATGTCAGAATGCAAAGCACCACATAGTCCTTTTTTTTTTAAATTCTTACTTTTTAAGCGGAAAGAAGGAATCACAAGTTCAACGGCTCAAAACACTCCAAAAAAATGACGGTTTTTCTATAGAGATGTTTTCTTATACCGTTATAAAGAAGCTTATTAAAAAAAAAAGGATTCTGTGGTGCTCTGGGTCTTCACATGTTCTTTCCAACAACAAAAAATTAAATACATCACATGAACCTGGACTGAGAAATTTGGGTTGCACGTTTGACATATTATGAACTGAGAAAAAACGAAAAAGATTTTCGGTTTTTTTTCAAAAAAATGATTTATTTTTCGAATAGAACATGATGGAAATCTCCAAAAAATTGTTGAAAAAAACAAGTTGCTGAGTAAAAATTGTTGTCACTTATGAAAGACCAGATCATGGACTATCTTCTGATGCATTTATCTTAATTTCGATCATGCTGACAATGATTTTTGAGCATAAAAAGGTATCAATAGAATGCCGCATCCACCATTTTCCATCAGACACTACATCGCGTGGCTTTTAATTAAATGCTTATAGTAAGCGTAATTTTAACTAACCAACAAAATGAAAAATTATGTCTCGTACAGTTTTCAACGTAGTCAAAAATATTCAAGAAAAAGACCTTAGACAAGAACATTTAACGAATTGTTAGAAAGGATGAAACTTGGCATAGAAAATTAAGGCAACTCTTGTGAGCATTAAATAAAATAAAACTAAAAATATATCTTTATTTTTATTTAATATTGTCAGAACTTTTTCGTCAATGCTAAGTAATATAAACTCCAATTTACATTGCTTAGATTTGAACTTTTCCCAAAATATTTACCGTGCAATTCGCTACAAAACCTCATGAAAGATTTTACTATAAAAAGTGACGCTGCAAAATTCTGCAGAAAATATTACAGGACATGAAAGCAATGTGTTTTCAAACATTTTCTTCCATTTTTTACTCTTTCTCAAGCGACAAACGTACTTAGTACCAACAAATTACATATTCCATTTTATAGCTCTTCAAAAATTCAATATTTTACAGCCATCTCGATTGTTTTTCCGCTTCGATCACTTGGAAAAAAGCTATTTCTTTTCGAACTTTACGCGAGCTCTTTTGTTTTGCAAAACTTTGGCACGATATCCTAAAACTCATACCTTTCTATCATAACATTGCTCTTGACTATTCATTGTTTGCTCTATATGAAGAGAAACGACGTCGATATGCATTTAATCATCTTATCCAGATTCTACACACGAAGAAAATGTTCAACTATTTGGAAGCTTATACTGCATGAAATATCACTTTTGTGCATTATGACCTTATTTAAGAGAGCGTTACTGAATATAGTGACACAGAGTACAATTGAAAACACAGAAAAACTTGCTTCTAAGGAATTAGATGCTTGATTGGTTAATAAAAATAAGGATTAGCTTTTCTATAAGAAACTGTTAAAAAAACGCTCGTTTCGTGTCTCACAATCTTTCCCGAAGCATTTTCTAGTGTAACCTGCTTATAGAAAAATCTCTTATAAGGTAATGTACAGAACTACATGACAAATATTTTAGAAAAAATTTTGAGTCTGAGCAATGAAAATTGGAAAAGATATTATCGAAATTTTGAGCGGTGATATTTACTCTTGGCTGCTCATTATGTTATTTTTAAACAGGAGTGCCATCTTATCAAATCAGAAAAGCGGATTAGACATGGAAAGCAATTTGTTGTGGGCTTTTCACATTTCTATAGGATTAAATAACTGGTTGATTCTTTCCATGACACTTGTTTATTCTTAAAGTTGCAAAACATAACAAATAATCCATGAAGAAGATGAATAGTTTATTAAGTAGATCATTTTTTGAATGTAGCTACACATACTGTTTGAATGGTTTTTAATTAGTAGTTCTTTTTCAGATAGTAGATATTTATAGAAGTTTGCGTGATAATGAAGCATTTCTACGCCTTTGTATTTCTGTATCTATGAAATCTACTGACTTAAAATGACACATTTCCAAAAAAAACACGTTCCAGATTGGAATCAACTAACTCTGCACCAGCTTCTTTGATATGATGACTAGATCAATCAGTATAGAATTTTGGTGTCTACAAGTATAATACTCTGAGACTGAATGAACCCAATAAATTAATAACAACTGTTGTATTTCAATAGAGTTATAGCAGCGAAATTCAAAACACTGTTTTTTTTGTCAAATATACTATCACGGCAGCGACGGGTTTTTGCATGAGATGGACATCTTTAGTTTATGATTAATATCATTGTGATATATTTGTATTTATGTTAGATGGCAATGCAGAAAATTTTATCTGATAAGAGTATTGTGACCTGTTGATCAAAAAAGTCGAAACGATGAGTTGAAATAAGTGTGAGATATATTTTTCATGATACTTTAAAAATTTGAAATAAATCTAAGTACTATAAGGTCGTTTTATTCATCCTTCTAAATATTAGAAAACGAAGATTTTTCTAGTAACTCGATGTTGAATACATAAAATTAAAATAATTTATCATGAAATTGATAAATTAGTCGAATAATAATGATTATTATTTACATGATTGCCAATAGATAATTATTCTCAACACGATATTGCAAATAGGAAATCTTATTCTATCGTTCTTTTCTTTTGTAATTAGACATTCTTTAACTTCTTGACAGCTATAATTAATCAAAGTTTTACTCGTAAACAATAATTGGGCTTCTGTATTCTATTTTCTAGGCTTTTCGAAGTGTTATTTTATAGAACATTGTAATAGGTTCTCTTTTAAAGAGCAAACTAAGATATAATCACAATTCTTTTCTTTTTCTTCGAAGATAATCTTTGCTGAAATATACATGGTTTGGTAATCATACATTTTAAAATCATTTTACTAGTGGAATTTAATCAAAAGAAAATTTTTGAGATTATTGTGTCAAGGACTAATATACAGCAGTTGCTCTGCGCCTTGGTTTTTCATTGAGAAAATAATTTCGTTTAATTTCTAATATGAATTACAAAGATATTTTAGTAAGAGGAAGCAAAGCCTATGCATCTGTTGCATTTTCAAGAGCTTGTTTACTTTGCAATATGTGTTTCATGATAAATTGTTTATTTGAAAGTCAAAGGTTACATTTTAAATAATTTTAATCGATTATGAAATCTTTATTGATAACATGAATGATAAGGTTATTTATGATTTTATCATCAGAAATATAGAGTTATAATTGTGTATATGTTTTTTTAATTCTATGATGAAAATTAAGAGTAATTTATCGCTATACTCTCTAATATCCTTTTTAGCTTAAACATAAATGATAAAAAGAAAAAGAAATGAAATTTAGAAATATCTGTTGATGGAATATATTGTAGAAGAAAAAATAAGTTCAGGAATTATTGAAATTATTGACACAACTATTTTGAATAAATTATCTGGTAACGACCTTAACAATTTTAGATGAGGTCTCGTTATTAATTATCTTTCATTGCATTATAGACAAAAATAAACTGTGTTCGGTATATAAGTTATGTGTTTTATTTTTCAATCATGTCTGCCTTGTGTAATTTTTTGACAATGCTAATAATAAATATCCATTGTATATTATAGTATAGCTACGTCATTCATATAAAGATTGTTTTATTATTAAATATATATTTCTCAATATATTTGTAGATAGTGACTGGATTAATTTTATGTGTCTGAATACATTGAAATTAATTAATAAATGATCGATCTATGTTGATATTCATATTTCTTTCAAACATTATTGTTCTATTTTCTTAGTAAGTAAATATAATCAGTTGGCTACGCGATTAATTAAACCCAACCCGTATATCTATAAAACACATTAATTAGTTTTTAACATTAATATAGAAATATTTATATCACTTTTTTATCATTTAAGATATTTATTTGTATATAAGCTTGTTTTCATACTTTAAACGATTTTCACAGACGTAAAAATTACTCTCGCTATAGAAAAAAAATGAAATCAACAAAAACGAAAGTCAGTCAAGCAAAACCTTATAGTTGCTGCTATACTTGCATTCGTCATACCTGCTTTGTCATGCGTAGCAAGCGTTTAAAAGGAATGCAGAACGATAGTTAAAATAAGAACATAAGATTGATTCGTTATAGTCAGCACATGATATTTTAAAATAATATTATATTGTAAGTTCAAAAATTTATATATCGAAAATATGAGCAAGAATAATGATGATTTAATAAAACATGATAATCATTCGCGTGGATCCAAAAGTCGATTAAAATCTTCAATAGTATGTGATCCAAATGGTTCTATGAGTACTTTCAGGCTGTTTTATCAAAGTGGTGGAAGAGATTATGAACACTATCGTCTTTGGCTTCAAGCATTGTCAAAATCGGAACAATTATCAAAATTATCAAATCCGGCAGCTGAAATCAACGAAGAGTAAATAAATAAAAAAGCATCTTTTTTTTTTTTTTTATTCTAAAAAGAGAAAAAGACTATATCGGCTTTTTCCAGATCTATTGATACGGAACCCAATATGCACACTAGTATACCACACGTAGTAGCATCGTCATCATCATCACCATCACATTCACAAAATCCTATATCAATAGCAAGAATTACACGTACACATCCATTATTGAAACCGATGCGACACCATATACCTTTACGAAGAACATCTGAACTTGCATTGCCATTGCCCACTTTTTTATCTTCAATATCGACAACAACATCATTGAAACCTCACATTTGTACCCCACATGATTATTCTCATGTTGCAAATGAATCTTCATCTTCATCTTCATCATCTTTCATCGATTGGTCAGTGGCTGATGTCGCTCGATTTATTGAAAAACATTTTCCTGAGAAACATATTGCTCGAGTAAAATTTCTTTTTGTTGTTGGTTTTTTTTTAATTTATTTTAATTATTTATTTTTTTTTAAAGAAATTTGTGCAACAAAAAATCGACGGACGTACACTACCATTATTAACTGAAGATCATTTAATAAGAATATTTAAAATGAAACTTGGTCCAGCACTACATTTACTTACTCTTATATCTAATATGCAACTAAAAAATCAATAAAATACTATTTAACAATGAAGGTTTTTGTATAAATCATTTACTATAAATGACGAAATATATTCATTCTATGATGTTAACGACAAGTGATAACCGTCTAAGCGCGATTCACTGAGCCGTACATCGGCAGAACAGAAATATGCATATAGGCGGATAAAAACATCAATATGCGTTAAATAAGTAGTAGATAAGAAAAATAGATCGCTTTATGCATATAATCGATATGTTTCACTAAATTTAATTAAAAATTTGATTTTTATGTTTATAAAGAAGAAAAAGCGTTCTAAATATACTATAATTGTTTAATGAAGTTCAGTTTGTAATGTGGATTGTTATTGGTCTTCCTATAGAAATTTTGTCACATTTTTCAATCAGTACACTGTTGTGATTATATTTGTTTTTGTTTTTCTTCAAATGCTATTCGTAAAAATTAATTTTTAATTAAGTACCATGAACAAAGATTCTTTTTATCTCATATTGGTATAGATCCAATTAATGAATATCTATGAATGCTATGCAATCATAAATAGTAGGATATTGATTTTTAGAGATTTTTATGCTTGAAGTTTAAATTAAAAAATTCAAATTGAAAATGTTTCGACTAATCATCATTCATTATTTTGTGTCTTCTTCATGTTTTGAATAAAATTTGTTATATATATATATATATATAATGATTTTGTAAAATTGTTGACTATTAGTTATATAGCCATTATTTCTATTGCAAAAAGAAACATTAATATCAGATTATTCTAATAATATAATTTTATGTTCAGATCCACTCAGTCTCTATCTCTTAATAATTATTGATCGCATTCTCATGTATGCAGCACTGAACAGTCGATCGAACTATTCAATAATTGAATAACAATGATCCTCACTTCTAAATGCACCCGAAGTCAAACAAACATGCTTGTAAATCATTATATATTGGCGTATTACGTTGCTTAGTATTGCAATCATATTTATCTGTGTCACGTAAGGCGAAAGGTGGTCGTAAACAATGAAATAAGGAATGTTTTCGGTTTTGATATTCTTCGTTGTAGGATACTATTCATATGTTAATTTGAATCTTAATATGTATATGCTCTTTTGTATTATCCTACGCAGTTGTGTATAACACAATTGTTAGATGGTAGATATTATACATACAGACAGACACAGGTGACATCGCATTTCTACACCGTATCCTTACAGTTTAGGGAAACATTTTTTCGTTTGCTTCTTTTTTTTTTTGTGTTCTTTACTTGGTCTACAGAATGAAAACAAAAGCCTATTCAACCATATTAAATCTCGTATAAGATTAGTTTCTTTTTACTGTTTTGTCATTAAATGATTATGTTCGCTTTAAATATCTCGTGTTTTCATCTCTTATAAACCATAGATTTTTTTTTATATATATTTAGTAATCAAATCGTCCCTACCGAGATCGAGTTTTTTTTAGAAAAAACAACAAGAGATAAAAAAATAGGTCGTCATGAGCATTTGATCTAAATAAAATAAAGATAATTTTATTATATTGCTAAATAGAGAAAGTCATGTCGCGTATCGAGCTGCTCTATTATTTTCTTCCGATTTATTGCTAGTATATTCGAATAGCTTTTCCAATCGATCATAGTCATTCTTTTTTTTTCTTCGATCTCACTGTCTATTTCTTGATGAACATGTTCTATCATATTAACATATAACATAACTATATGTAAGCATACGGAGAAAATATTATCATGTTCAATCTTATATGCATTTATTTGTACTCAGTTTCTGAAAGAAAAAAAATGCTAATTGGTATTCTGGTAAGACTAAAAAAAAAAGAACAAATCAAAAAGAGGAAATGATTGAGTCAGTCAATAGAAGAGGATTATTGTTTGTGTGTGCAATACTATTAACAACATCATGCGATAATAACTTCCGTCTGGCATAAATTTCTACGAAACAAAAATAACAAAGTAGCAGAATGATCGTTATTTGTTCGTTTAATGCATACTTCGAGTCAGCTAGAAAAACAAGCATAACATTTTGATATATGGTCCGCATCGTTTCTTAATAACTGGAATGAAACATATCTAGACGACATTTATAAGCATCCCTTTGATGTTGCATGATTAAGAAAATGAAGAATTTTATATGAAGAAAAAAAAAAACATGTAAGAAAAAAAGCTGGTTGTCATCATAATCGTTAGTAAATTAATTTAAAAACAGTAGCACTCGTCATTTTTCGTCACTTCAAGGTTAAATATTACAAAAAAAAATAGGTTTTTATTGTAAGAAAAATTCTATCATAATGTTAACACCGTGCACTTGAAACATTCTAGTGATAAGATCAAAGGAAACCGACGAATCAACATATACATACACGAGTTATTGTTTATTTAAACCTCTAATGCCAGAAATGTCACTTGGAATCCGAAAGAAAAATCAAAATATATATATATATATATAATCAAGTTTTTGTATTTTACAAATTGCAAATAACAAGCGAACAATAATAAGTATTCTCGACTTATTCCATCTGATCACTTTGATGTCTTAAGATAATTTTCTACAAATGTCATGCACAAAAAAATCTTCTTCGTATTTTTTATCTTAAGATGACACATGCTCAACGTTCTCTTTCGCTTTCTATTTCTATAAATCTCAATGAAGTAATGAGAAGAACAAAGATAGAGAGAGAGCGAGAAAAAAAAACTGGAAAAACATGAAAATAATGTAGACAGCCGACATTTTTTTCCTTACTATCGAACGATGCGACGCATTTGGTTAAGGATAGACGTCAAGCATTTGCACTCTCTCTTTCTCCCTTTTACTGTCGTTATAATCCAGCGAAGAACATCTTGTATTGTGCGACTAACAGATTTTTTGCGTGTGTAGTTACGAACCTCCTATGTCGCCAGAATGGATATCAGAGAAATAAGTGAAGATGATGGGTTCCCTGTCAGTAACGATAAGTTCTATCCATGATAGTCGTGCCGGGAGAAAAATGTTTATATTCAATGATCGATCTAATTTATGTTTCGTTTCCTTTTTCTTCTTTCTTTTTTTTTTTTTGTTTTTTTTGCTGTAATCTATCTTTAGAATAATATGACAGGACCCATCGAGATATTGCTTCATATTACTACTACTAATAATAATAATCCAAACAATAATCAATGTCGGACAACTCAACGCGTAAGTTGTTTTATAAGGAATTAATTTCTTATGATAGTAAGTTGTTTTTGTTGGTTTTTCTTCCATAGAAAACATGATTAATCATAAAATACTTTAGATGCAGTGATCTTGACATTATTTCAGAGATGAAATGATTGATTAAATATAATGAATGCTTGAGTTAATGAACACTCTTGACTTTCTCATTAAATCGACCCTATTATACTACATTTTTTACTTTATATAGCGTATTAAAATGTTTGTTTTTGCAATGTTTTATTTATTAATCATGAGATCTTATATTTTTTTATCGTTCGCTTATTGAAATTAGTTTTGTTTACAGGTGTGAAAAGCAAAAAATGAGATGTATTTTTCTGCCGTAAAAGTAGAAGAACTTCCTTTTTTTTATTTTTTTTTTGGATTTTTTAAATTACCATTTGTTTTCTATTTAAAAAAAGGTTCATTTTACTTTTCTTCCGCTTTTTTAACTTCTAAATATATATCATTTTTATTATTTCTTGCCAGTTAGATTATACTTTAATTTCCTGAGTAAAATTATAGTTGAGCGAAAGGAATAAAATGGCAATGACTAATGTTCATTTGCTTAGTGAAGTGTTTTTTCTTAAAAATAAAAGCGTAAAATGTCTGATACTAATCGATGTACTCAAATAAAAATTTTTAAAATAATATGGACATGTTTGTTTTTTGGTAAAATAATTAAACACAATTACTTAAAATAAATAATTTTCGATTAATAAAATTGTTCTAAATAAATTTATTTCAATATAAATTATTTGTGAGGTTTTTTCTTGTTTAGAAAATATGGACGAAGGTATTTATCGGATGAGTTTTGCCGAAAGTCTACTTGTTTTAATCGTTATTGGTTTATGGTTATTGGCTGTTATTAGTCTAGCAAGAAAACTTGAAAGAATTTGTAATCCTCCGTCAATATTTCCTAATTATTCGTTACACGCTAAAACAAGTGTAAGTCCATCTTCACGTCGCGATCGACATTCAAACGATTCAGTACAATCAACACTTCCACCGCCAGTTAATTTTGTTCGTGCAACATCCGAACCAGCTATTGATGCATCACCTCGAGCAACTATTTACGTTCGTTCTCCAAGTGAAACATGTTTACATGTTAAATCAACTTCAACATTGCGTATGTCAGCAATGTCACAACATTTAAATTCACCAAGTACACTTGAATTAGGCAAAAGTGGAATGAGTAATAGAGTTGGTTCACTAAATATTCCACGTACTAGTAGTTATCATATTCGTGTTGAAACTTCTAAACGACCCGTAACAACACAAACATTATTAGATCCGAAACGTATACCATCTATTGTAAGACGAAGTCTTTTAGATTTACATCGACGTACTTTATTTTCGAATAATGCATCTAATATTTCGCCTATTCGATGTATTGTTACAGCAGCAAGTAATAATTCAAATGGTAATGGACCACATACAACAACAACAACATCATCAACGACAACAAGTGCTAAAGTTCCGTTATTAAATAAATATCGTAAAGCTAATGAAACAGATGAAGATGATTGGTATCGAGGTAAATTTATTATTCTAATCACAGAAATATTCTGGAGAGCATCCTGTCGATAGGTTTTTATGTCGATAGGTTTTTATGTTAGAAACTAGTAGTTGCATGCCAACCATTGAATTCTTTTTCTTTTCTTTTCTTTCTTCGTCTTATCAAAAAAAGAAAAGAAACTTAAAATAACAACAATGGGTAAACACATAAAAAAAAAGGGCTAAAGAAAAATACATTATACATACTTACATCAGTTGCTATTTTTTTTTCTTCCATCAACGATGTCGTATTTTGAAAAACAACGAAAATATACAGAAATTTATAGTAAAACTGAATATTTACGAGGATATTTAGAAGAAAAAGTAAAATCAATTTAATTCTCTTTTAATTGATTTAATGTCATGGTTTTTTTTTCAATTTAGACTCACAATCAAGCGACTGATTTGTATCAATTTCTTAAACCATCACAACGTTATGCAATTCAAATAGAACAATTTCGTTCTCAAATGAATCTCAATTATCAACCACCATTACCACGACCACCACCTCATGCATCCTGGTGATCTATTCTATTGTGATATCTCAACAACAGAACATTAAAATCGATGCAAACGATAAATTCTATATATTATATTTTTTTTTACAAAACTAATTTTTTTGACGGAAAAAAATATATTTATTATATACAATTCGAAAATATTAGAAAAAGAAATTGGACATAATGCGTCAACAAATTTGTTCAAAAACAAAATTCAGAACGAAATTATCATTAAAAAAAAGCTTTTTTTTTTTTGATATTGAAAAAAACAAAAATAACTAAAAAAAATACTCGTCTTCTTTGTTTCTATCACCATTTTGACTTATTCCATTTAAACAAGATTAAAACCTTGATTATGCTGAATGGCTTCAAGTAATTTAGCTTTTAAAATTTCTTTTGACGAATATGCCGGTAAATCAAGAATATTAAAACATGTATGACTAACAGGTAGATGAATATCATCAATATGACTGCGTTGTATTGTCATTGGCTAAAAAAAGCAAAATACATAAAGAATATTAAATCTATTCAAATTATTTATTTACTAATGTTTGACTCCATCCAAAGACAGGTACTCGATCGGAACCGGTGAGGAATACTAAAAAACAAAACGTATGTAGATATATAAAAAAGAAATATTTTTTTCTCATTAAAGCAGAAAAAACAAATGTTTATTTTAAAGTACATTCAGTAGGGTTTTTTCTTCATCTTAATTAATAATAATTGTCTTAAATACGCAGATGGTATGATCTATAAAGTAACATATTTCTCCTTGAGAATAATTTTCAGAAACATTTTCCCTTAATAATACGACATTTTCATGTTAAGATTAGAAGAGGACATTAATTGCACTAAAAGTCATTGTTCTGCCTGCTGTTCAATTATATTAACAGGTTTTGATCTACCTTGAGACCTTGCTATATACTGTAATAAGATGACTTTCATCGTATTTATATATAATTTATAAGAAATAAGAATAAAATCTACTTTCTTTCTTCTCAAATAGAACGTTCTATTTATAACAGGAAAATCTATGTGATAATGAGCTTTGACTTCGAATGAGTTCTATCTAAAACATGTTTTTTACTTTTATCTTGTTAAGATTCCGCTCGAAGCTACTACTCCCTGAGGAAAAAGTTTTCATATTAGACATGCACTAAACTCGAGTGCTCAGATTTGATCCTGACTACAGCTTTTTTCAGCTAATTGGTAAAAAGAGATAGAAGTAGGTCAAAAGAAAGTATTTCAGGGTTGACTATGATAGATTTTCACACTATGAAATAAATAGTTTACAAACACTGGAAACAAAACTTGATGTTGTTCAAAAATACCTGAATAATAACTAACTTTGATGATTGTTTGTACACTTAAAGATATGCTTCAGTGATCATCTAGCTGGTTCGACACCATCAGAGCTGATTGCATAGCTTCTACATCAAAAATCGAGCATGAACTGTTCGTCTTAAACACTGAACAAGAGTTCAGATTTAATGCATGTCTATACAATATCTAATTTTAAAAGCTTCATAGAAAAACTTGAAAATCTATGTATTTCATGATAGATATGTTCGAATTAATAGAAAACTTTTAGGATAACTTATTAAACGGTAAAAATTTCATAATATTTTTTATGAAGCCTTTTTTTTTTTTTGTTTAGCATTTCTATTCTTAGAGTAAAATAGAATTATTATACTTTTAAAGCCAAGAGATTTATATCGAAGCCTAAGAAATTGTTCGTGGAGTATATGAGAAGAATTAGAAATACAGTGCTTTGTTTCTGATTGTGACAATTTCAGTTTCTATTTCTGGCTATTGAATTAATCGCTATGAATATTAATGCATATCGTAATGCAATTTTTTATAGATGTTTATCTTTCTTTTTATTCGTTCTTGTCAAGTAAAAGCAATCATTATTATCTGGGAAAATACTAATTTATCAATTGAGAAACACTTATTCAAGATGCTCTGTTACATATCAATATTTGTTATTCATATTGAATTTATCGACAGTTTCTTTTATAACTCATTTGACAGTTGCTAGATCAAAATAGATTTGTTTCTTTTTTTTTATAATGACTGTTAGTGGCATGTGGCAAATTAAATTAATTATGATAAGAAGTGTACTTACGAAGAAATTTCTTTTTTTCTGCTTCGCTCATTTTGTGAAAAACTTGCCAAAACCATTGACTAAAAACAAAATTTTTCTTTCAGAAAAAAAAGGAAAAACAACAACAACAAGTTTTTTTCTTGTTGACTTACATAACCGGATGATTAGCATGATATTCTCCTTTATATTCAGTTTTCTTTTGAAATTCATTCCAATCATAATGGTTGTTACCAACCTTAAATTAAAAAAAAACAAGAATCAAAATAATTTATATTTTTTTTGTTACAATAAATTTTATTATATTTACCACAAATGACATTAATTCATCGGGATAAAATAATTCTAATGGTTTAGAGTTAATAACACGACGAAAACCAGCTGAAAAAGCTTGAAATTGTATCTCACATGATTTATTAAATATATAATCAATATATAAATCAACAAATTCTTGTTTATTATTTTGATTAACCATTATAGATGCACCACCTGGTTTTAATTCAATTTGACTTTTTTCATCACAAAATTCACGCTCAATAATAAATGTAAAACAAAGTGCTGTTTCAAGATCATCTGCAGTATAATTTAATACTGATTTAAGACTTTGATAGATTGTTGGAGATAATGATTTCATATCGTCAAGATCAATTTTTCCTTTCTTTAATAATTTTTTATATAAAGCTAATGGAAATGGAAGGTCAATTATTGTTATATTATAAACAGCTAATGCACAAAGTGTCTAAAGAAAAATAAAATAATCAAATCAATTGAACCCATCAATCACAGAAATGTGCTTTGTTTTTAAATATCAGTGCTCATCAAAAAGATAAATATGATGTATTTATGTAAATTTTCGTCAAAAATTTTTTCTATTCCTACTACGTACAAAGACATAAATAGCGTGTAATTAACCAATGACAGTTTTCTAAAGTACTTTCAGATAATAATAATAACTTAATCCAACGTCCGACGGATTTTTGCGATTAGAAATTTTTATTTTCTTTGAAAATATATAAATTTTGTTTTGTAAAAATTTTTTCAAAAATTCTAAGGCTTATTAATCATCTATACAATTTCAAAATTGACTTTTATCTCAGGACTAAGTACTGAAAGATAAGTACATAAACATATGCGAATGTTTATTTTTACTATTTAAAACACTTCTACTAGTTTAATTTCATTTTATCAACATTTATATCGATTTCCTATTTAGTAATTTCATTGACAGAAAGTATTGTTGATTTTAAATTCTGTTCGAAAAGACAATAGATACAAAAAATATTGTGAAAAAACAAAAAAGCAACTATAGAACATCCATTAGCTTAATCACTTCCACGAACAATAGAAGTATTTCTGTTATTTTTGCTCCTATTATTTTATTAATCTCTATACAACAATCCCCTTTTGTTAAAGAACGAAAAGCATATCAATCGACTAAATTAACATGACATCGATATACTAACGGTTAATCTGTTTACTCATAGTAAAATGTCATTATCTATTCTGTCAGTAAAGTTTATACTTGAGTAGATTGATACCTGTAAGACATTTATTATTTCAATAGTTCTTATGATACTGCAAAAACTTATATTGACAAACAAGAAAGATATGAACTTCTCTGTTTTTCGTATTCAGCTTACACAAAATGTTGCAACTGAAAATAAAACCATTCATTCACAAAAGCTAAAAAATATGTTAATCCAATTGATACTAATACTTACTCCTATTAATTTATACATTGCTTCATCTTCAGTCATATGTTCACTAAACCAAATTGTATTAGTTTCTTCATAAAATGCTAATAAAAAAAAAAATTATAAAACTAAATTGAATAATTATTTTTCTAGCTTTTTCTTACTAAACATTCCATATTTCGGATCTAATATTTCTTTAGTTAATAGAAGAAAAAATTCTTTACGTATTCCACCAGCATCAAGACCTTCTTCATTATGAAAATAGACTTGTAATGGTTTTTTAAAGTCTTCTTCTTTTAGTTTATCTAACTAAAATTAAAAATTTCATTTTTTCTTTAATCTTATTTAAATTTTATTTTTAAATTTTACTTGATTGATGGTATCTCGAACAATTGTCTTACGATCAACATGTAATACAAGTACAGGATTAACTGTATCTACATGTGCACCCAACATAGTTTGAAAATTATGTAAAAATGCATTTTGAATTGCTTCTTGCATTTCAAGTTGTCCATTATATTGAAGTAATACTAAAAATAATAATTATTTAAAAAATTAAAATTCTTTTTTTTAATTACTTACGAATTTTTGCTCTAAGATCAAATAAAAATGGATAATCACAAAATGAAATCATTTTTTTTTCCTAATTGAAAATAAAAAAGAAAATTTTTTATTATTGAACATTATATATTTGTTTATTTTACTAACTCCTATTTTTCCACGTGCTCGCCAATAATCATAATCTTGTTTCAGGTTAATTGTGTCATTAAGTTCTTTCATATAAAATGCATCATAACCTAATAATTCAGGTTTAGCCATGTTACATGAAACCTATTTGTATTAGAAAATAAAGCATTGAACATTTCATGTTTGTTTTTAGAGAATTGAGTAAACCACTACTGGCAATATAAGGTACAGGATGTTCTATTATGTTCAAGCCTACACAGTTCCCAAGGGGATTTGCTATTGTATATCATTTGTTTTCATAGAGTTTAATTAAGAGGGTTTTTTAGAACACTGCAAAAAGTTTTTTTAGAGTTTTCAAAGCCGAGAAATGACGTTGAACTTAGTTTTCAAAAGAGTTTTTCAAGTAGAAATTCTGAAAATTAGGAATATTTTGATGTAAATATACATATTAAAAATCTAATTTTGTGAGAATTTATTAATTAATGTATCTCTTATTGCGAGCTAGGACTAATTATATAGTATAGAAACGTTTAACAAAAATAAAATCATATCGACACTCATAATTAGTTGTTGATATTCTTTTTAGATAGCGAAGAAGTGGAGAGATTTTAAAAAAAAAATCCTTCGACAAAGTTAGCGTTAATTGCTGTACAATATAAAACGTAAATTATTTATTATTTTTCACAGTGGAACATATTATAGTAATTATTTCTAGGTGTTTTCTAATGTTTATATAAATAGATTTGACTATAAATATGGAAGTAAGAAATAGAAAGCTGATGATTAAAATAATGCTATGTTCATTATTGAACGTAATAACTTATCAAAAGATATGCATGTTTATCAAGACTTGACTAACGAGGAAAATCCTTCAGCAGATTAATTGTTTTTGAATCAAGGCTATCTGTAAGATGTAGACTAATGAGCTGTAAATACACTGAACAAAACACCTTGAGGTCTTCCACTTATTGATGCAGAGACATCGCATTTTCACGATATGTTTCTAAGTCTATTCCATGGTCCCTTGAGAAACATTAGCAGTAATTGTTTTCTAATCGGGTGTCACAACGTTTCACAGAGACAAACCTTGATGCACTGTAAAAACAAAAGGCGTAGAATAATAAATCCGACGAATAAAATTTATTGGTCCCGTAAACTTCTCATCAAATTTTCATCAATCCTTCCAGGGTTTATGTCAATTTAGTAAAATCTTGAAGAATTGACGAAAATTTGACGAGACTAATAAACTGTCTTGCAGAGTTTATTATTCTACTGTTTTTTTACAATGTGAAAATAGTTTATTATAAAGGTTTCCAATTCATTGATTTGCTCCTATCTTGATATAGGAAAATTGAATCTGCCGATATACATGAGCAATTCAAAAGACACACTCGATAGAACCAACAAAAAGATTTCAAATTTTTACAATAAACTATTCTCATCAAAGTTCGTCGTCGTGCAAAGTTTCAAATAGAAATTTGAAAATTAGTCTTTCTGATGTTTCTCACGGGGATCACGGCATTGGCTTAAAAAATACCGTAAAAATGTGGTATCTTCGCACCCATAAGTTAGAAGTTCAAAAATTCTTTTAGAAGATTCAAAGCTCATTAATGTCTACATCATGAACATAGTTCTGATTCAATAGCAATAATCAATTGGAAGATTTCACTTATAAGATATGAAAATTTTTAAATGTTAATATGAAGTTTCATTCAAATAGAGTTTCCTCATTAAAAAAAATATTTTACTGAAAAATTGCAACAATCAAGAGACATTCAAATCTTACATTATGGACTTTTTTAAGTAATTCTAAAATAGCTTTTAAAAGTATTTGATATTGCTGTGCAGCTAATGGTAAAGATGCTGGATTAATACGGATAATTTTAATCACAAGAGGCTTGTATAACTAATAAAAAAATACTAAATAGAATTCTTTAATAGTAATTTTCTATATCATTTTTTACTTCAAGTATTCTTTCAACAAAATGTCTACCAATATTTAAAATCCAATAATCTAATACACGACCATCAGCTTTTTGTTTTAAACGTGTTGTTGCTTGAGCAAATGGTGCTGTTACTGTTTCGAGCATATCTTCATTTTCAAATATATGACAAAATGGTAAAATAAGATAAACACGTAATGCTTCAAAACATGGAGCTGTTTCAGGTAATGATAAAAGTATCGACTGAATATGTTCAAATAACTAGAAACATGCAAAAAAATAAAACACATGTTGTAATTATAAATCGAAAGAAAATAAAACAAACCAATTGTTGAATTGCTGGATCACATGAACGTAATTTTTCCATCACAGCTATAACTTGATCAATATCAATACCTGGATTATTTGATGATGTACGAAAATGTGTATCTGGTAATGCTAAAAATGAACCATTTAAACATGCTTCTGAACAAAACATGCGAGATAATTTTCTAGAGAAAAAAAAAAGAATTTCTTTAATTTCTTGATAAAAGTAAAAACAAAGCAAACCGTTTGGCAGCTTTCATTGTCTCTGAAGATTCAGGCGCATGTTGGAGCCATTTTGCAAAATCAAGTGTTAATTCAAGAATTGGACGATTTGTATAATAAGTTCGATAGTCATCAGGAGCTTGTGCCTAGAAGAAGTAAAACTATGTTTAAAAAAAAGGAAATTTATTTGAATCGTATAACTAACTTGATGAGAAATTCGAACAAATGTTTGATGACCACCAGCATAAATTCCTAATACTTGCATATTTTGTTGACTGATTTGTATATTACCTTGTTTTGATGTATTTCGTGGAGATGAATAGCCATTATTATCAGATAATTGTCTTTGAAGCTGAAATTTTCGAAAAGAAAAATGCCATTGTTAAGACAACGAATATTTTCTTAGTTTAAGTGACACCTGTTTCATAGTTTTATATGATAAAAATTGAATTGGTAATTTTTGTGGTATTGTTATATAAGATGTTAGTTTAGTATCTTGAGTACCAGCACAAGCCAAACCAAACACAGATACTTGACCAGTATTAGGGAGGAAGATAATTGTATGGGATCTAAATTAAGTATACAAATTAAAATGAGCTTTTCTATCGTAGGGTATAGTCAAGCGATCGTGGCTAGTAGGTCAGTGCTTTATTATCTTGGGAGAAGTTTATGATATATACGCGTCAATGGTGGTAATTATTATGTGTGTCTTTTGATGATAGGGTGATATCCGATCCAACTCACTCTTGATTAAGCAACTATTTTTCCGTTGTTTTTCTTATTTTTGAGACTCTGTCATTTTCTCAAAAATATTTCCTGTCTAACACTAATTATAAATAACACAGAATCAGACTTGTCGATTAGGGCGGAAGGGCGAGGGGGAGCGAGCGGATGGGAAGAGATATCCCGACCAAAAATTAGGAACATGTCTGGCTTTTTGCTAAATTTAAAAAGTCTCATGGTGAATTCTGGCAAAAACTCGGTTTTTAAGCACAATTCATCATTTTCTTGACAGAAAGTCGAATAAAAACACCTTCTTTCAACAAAATTGCGCGGAAAGTCGATGAATTCAGCATTATTTGTTCACTTGCTGCCAGAAAGTCACATGAAGCACTTTCTGCCGAATTTTTAGTCTCTCCCACTTTTCAAAACAATCGACAACCCTGCACACGATTGAAAATGAGAATGAAAACTTTACTCCTTGGATTTCACAAAAAATCGTAACAGGCATGACGGAAAAAACTTTTAGAGTGTTCTCGTTTTTCGCACATTGTGCGAATCTAGATTGACCTTTGGTAAAGAAATTGAAAATGTACTGGTTTATAATTTGAATAAGATCGCATATACTCCGACAATGGTCTATTCAATGTCATAAAAGTTTTTGTTCCATTAGTCAGCAGTAGCTGGAAAACTCGTCAAAAACATGCTACTAGTAAAGATTAAGCGTACTGGCTTTTTTACTGTGAATAAAAGTAATAAGGAGAAAATACTCCTGAGGAGATTATATGTAATTTGACATTGCTTTTTTCGTTCAATCGATTTGCATAAAAAAGAAACTTTCTTTTTTACCTGTTCAGGATTAAAATCATTCTTCTGTTACGCTAAATACTTTTATGAAAACATGTACACAATATAATGAGCTTGCACAATCTTTCATCACTATAAATAGGACAAGACTTTTGGAAAATTTTATATGTACCTTTTCAACTCTTCGAAAATTTCCTTGCATCCTTCGTTTTTTTCTTCTTTTCGTCATGTCCTTGATAATCAGCATCGACTAATGTATAATTCATTAATATTAAAAAAAGCTTTCACACATTTATAAGGCGCTGGTCCTCAGAGAGGTTTATCATTAAAAGAGGTTTTCTTTTTTGGATTTGATTTTTTCAGATAAACATAGTTGCCCAAAAGTCACTTTACTGAGAAAAAATTTAAATAATCAAATGAACTTTTTGACTATTATGCGTCGTTCGTTCACATACGTTTTCTCGTATTGATTTTTCTTCTCTCATCCCACTTTAAAACGAGGAAAAGGCTGATCAAATAAACAGAAAACAAACCTGAAGAGAGATATGCTATGCAAATATAGGCAGCACGGTAGGTAGAAAAGAAACTTAAATCATTTAGACTATATAAATTGTAGTAGAAAGAAAAGAGAAAAGATGTGTGACGGTCAAAAGTTTATTTCGTCATTTACATTTCATCTTCATAAATTGACTCTCCTTCGTTGTACATGGTTTTTTCTTATCTGTGAACAAGTAATCCTTTTTTCGTTAAAGTCAATAGTGAGACTTACAAAAATGGTTTTATCTACTCTTATCTTTATGGATATGAAGTATGAACATGTCTTTATTATGAATGTAAAATCAGGCCGATTGCTCGAACCAGAAGAGATCTATTCAATAGTTTCTGAGTTAAGCGACTTTTGGGCCACTCTGTATTGACATTCGAAAGATGGTAGTACAATATTAATCAGAAAATAAGGTTTCTCTAAAGTAGAAAAAAAAACACATCACATCTAGCCATTGGAAAAATGTTCACTGTGCCGTAGGACTTTTTTCTTTTGAAATTTCTATATTTTATATGGAAGTAGTTTTTCTTATAAATCTTTCAAATAATTTCAACTAAACTTCAAATCATTTGTTTTTATCTATTATTTAATCTAAATACCTTCCACAAGCTATTTCTGTTACTTCCGATCCCATTAATTCAGAAACTTTTCTTGGTAAAAGTTCATCATTTGTTGAATTATGTCCAAGTTGTCCATGAATACCGGACCCAAATGAAAATACTCCACCATCGAGCGTAACAACAACTGAATGTTTTTCTCCACATGCAGCATATGTTACTTTTTGTTGTTGTAATGCTTTTATATTGCTTGGCCACACACGACTATCAGTATCACCGAGACCCAATTGTCCTGATCTAGAAAAAAAATTTTTATTTTCTAAATTTTAATATAAAAACAAAAAATGTTTACACTTACGAATTAAGGCCACATGCAAATACCGTTCTAAAAATATGAATAAATTTCAAAAAAAAGGATCAATCAGACAAATATTTTTTGTTTCAAATATAACAAACCCGCTCTTAGATACAATAACAGAATGATAAGCGCCACAGGCAATATATACAATCGGACTACCACGCAGACATGTAATTGGTGTAGCACTTATACAATCTCTCGTATGTCCTAATCCAAGTTGTCCATGTGCATTAAGTCCTGCCGCATACACTGTACCATCCTGAATATAATCAATGATTTTCAATAAAAAAATTAAAAAAATAAATCCATTGACTTACATCAGTCAATCCAAGACAATGAGTGTATCCGGCAGCAATTTGTATTATTCGTCTATCATTAAATCCTCCCAAATGTCTATTTTTAACTTTAATAAGTTTTTGTTCAACTATATAAAAAATAAACATACTCAGGTATATTATAAAAAAGACCATCATCATTTGTTATTTTTCCGCTAATGGAGCCCCAAATAACAATTCTTCCAGTTGTTGTAAGACACATTGAAAAATATTGTCCACATGCTATTTGTACACCTTCATCATTTTGTGGTAATATTACTTTTTCTAAATAATAATAGCAATGAAAAAAAGTAAATTCGTTTAATTTTATTAAATATTTGCCTGGTATTGTTGTTCGTCCTTCTCTACCCAATTGTGAATATTCATTATTTCCTGCAGAATAAACAGTACCGTCATGAAGTAAAAACAATGAATGTGTTAATGAACATGTAACTTGTATACATGTATGGTCATTAAAAAATGGTATACGTTGAGGTACAGAGACAAAACTTGTTACTGAAGATGGGCCTAAACCAAGTTGACCATGAGAATTGACACCCCATCCAAACATGATGTAATTTGACACAAAAAAGACGAATTATTTGACTATTTTGAAAAGTAAAAGAAAAAGAAAAAGAACTAAAATCAATAAATAATATTAAAATTCTAGAAGAAAAAAAGAAAATTGAAAACTATAAAAGAAAACAAGATATTCGAATAATGTTTCAATGAGAAACAAAAAAACAGGGAAGTTAGTCATAGACATCCTAGTATCTCAATTCTATTCAAAGCGTTGCACATAAACGTAACTTTTTCTTTCCAACAATTATTTTCGTTTAGCAACTATCCAATGTCAGCCAGTAAATAGTTTTATCGGAGCTTTACTGATATTGAAAGATGGCGTAAGAATATTGCTTTGCTATTTATTATCGTGTATAAATGTCCTTTTTCTCCTAAATAAAATGCACTTAATGTGATGACTCAACGAGGTACATGTGAAGTGCAAAGGTAATTAAGAATGTGGATGTAGATAATCCATATTGATATCTTAAAGCTTGTTAGTGCAGCCCTTTGGAGCTGAAATGTGGAACTCATATATACTTTCTAGGCTCATTAAACTAATACAAAAAACGTGAAGTGAAAAATCTCTAGTAGGTTATAATTTTTTTGCAGGATAATCAATCACTAAAATAAGAACCTCTCTAATTTTTGCATTTCGAAGAGAATTTTTTTTCTTTTTACGGGCGTACTATTTTTGTTTTCATTGTTGCTATCCGCTCATTATTTTTCATCTTTTTTTTTAAATTCGTTTTTCTTAATTTAACATTCTTATTATTATGATCATTGAAATAATTGACAAATAAGTACCCATGTCGTCAAAATCGCGCAAAAATCGTCGATTTTATCGCGATTNCAAAAAAAGATAGCAGAACTTCCTGAAAAAGTCACTGTGTGAACTTTGTAGACACGGTAGGTATTTAAAGAAAAAGTTCTGTTAATAATAAAAATGTCAGCTTTTAATCTTGTGCTATTCACGAGAAATACAGATTATACTACAAAATGTAGAGTAATGATTTTTCAGCGCATATTTCCAGCCAAACTCATTCAAGAATGTTCTTTTCAAATACAATTTAAACAAACAGTATACGGCAAGAAAATCTTGATGTATTGTGGCTTTTTTTCTGATTTCCTACTCCCCCCCCCCCTTATAGAATTGAAAAATGATTCAAACAAACCTTTTCCGTAAATGAAGCTAATTTTATTATTGACTTAAGCAGAAATTAAACTGTGCAACGTGTATTTCTCTTAATATGTAGTGAAATGTTGGAAGACTTTCATCGCTTAACCATAGATGTAGACTATAATGAAATATTCTACTTAAAAATTGTTTAGGTCTACTTTCAGTTTTTCATGCCAATCGTACCAAAAAGTTGTAATTCACTCATATACATGTATATATATATATATATCAGTCAATGAAGTTGACTTTCCTAGATTTTCCAATGCTACAATTTCGAAATGACTAACATTGTATATCAACAACGCAAGTGATAATCTATCAAACCTTTTCACATGATACTAAACTATTAGTATCAACTCATCATGAATCGATTAAAAATTCGTATAGTGAATTAAATATTTTATCAACAACATATTCATTGCAATGTTGTTTTTGATTTTAACAAAACAATAATAAATATCTCAAGTAAAAGCAAAGTCCGTGCCAGAATTAAAAAAGAGCAAGTGTGATTTCCACAACTGGACAACACAAATGGCTCTCAACCTGTATTTTTCAACAGTCAAAAAACGAGAGCTTCGGACATCTTTTTGTCTGATACTATATAATACAATTATTTTAAAACCCATCATCTTTACAACATGTTCAAAAAATGCATGAAATCGATGATCTATTGGAAGGATGTTTTAAAAAAACAATTGGAAAATTTGCTACAAATCAACAGAATTCTATATAATTTGACTGAACAGATAAGCGATATAATTTTTTCAGCATTCAAATGTAAAAAAATAATCTTTTGAATTATGCCTTTACCTAGAGATCTAAATTTCTTCTAGCTGAATCACATATCAAAATCAAAATTACATTGAAATGGAATACTATTTTCCTGAATTGTTTTAAATATTTTGTGAAATGGATAGCTTATTATTTAAAATAATTATTTGCTTTTTTATAATATCAGACAAAAAAAAACGTCCAGAGTTCTCAGCTTTCGACTGCTGAAAACTGGAAACCGTCAACTGTTGTCGTTGTCGGGTTATCAAGTTTACGCCTACCCTTCCTTAATTCCGGTACGGACATTAGTAATGGTACTGCAGTAGCAATTGTTAGCGTTAAAATTCTATGCTATTTAGAGAAGAAAATCTTTCTTTAATTCAATCAATTAAAATTTTTCATTTGAACAGTAATTGTATTTCAGTAACCATTGGATTTTCAGACTCATGTCGTATCAATCTTAAACATGCACAACAATGAGCTACAGAAAGAAATTTTATTTCTGTTGAGAATAGTTTTCATATGAAACTTTATCAAGCAATGATGTTGCTTTTATTTTTAATAAATAATGTAATAATTAAAGCACTATTTTGCCTTAAGAACCAAGTGATGAGAAACAAAATGTAAACTATATTTGAGCAATATTTCTTGTAGATTTTAACCAGTGCCGATCTGGAAGTACTATCTCTTTCAAATATATAGCTCTTTTTCTATTTATTACGAGCAACAATTGCTAATGTAATGATCCGTGAATTATTTATTGTCACTATTGAAGATATTCGTTTACAATTTATACAAAACCTATCAAATGATAACGATGTACGCTGTAAACAATATGGCGTATAAAGAAACAGATTAGAAATTATCAAGATTTTTTTTGTTAATTACTATAATGCATTTCTTTTTATTTTTATAAATAAAAATAAGATATTTGCAACGACTTTGAATTATTTACAGAAAATTTTGAAAACAGTCAAGACTTAAACTATGGTTTGATGTATTGTTCACACAGATAAAGTCTTTCTTTTTTTGACGTATCAATACAAGTCTCGTTTCTGATTATCTATTACTAGTAGAGGATAGAAAAAAGCTGCTTAAGAGTGACGTATACATAGGATTATTGATAGTCGAAAAATTAAATGACGTTGTTATAGAAGTATATTTGAGTATATTTTTTAGTCTGTTTATTATTCTGTGATAGATAGTATCCTCGAAAGCTCTTTTTTTCTTATCCTCATTGACCTTTACTGTTTTTTTGCGTCAGTTGTTTGATGTATATACAGAATGATCACCGGAAACTAATAATGTCATATCTGGAAATTTACTATCACACTGTTGTTTTGTATTCTTGATCGAAACAACTGACAATCCAGAAAATTAACTTGCCTATTGTATTGACAACCTACCCTTATGATTTATTGGAAAAGATTTATTTTTCTGTCGTTCCTGCATCGCTTATAAAACCATACAATAAAATTAGGGAATAGATAGATTAATAAAATTTAGATTTAGGTGTACTGGATTGAATGTTTTCTATCATGAACAATACGAGAAATACGATTTTCCGAGGGGAAAAAAAACAATATAATTCTCTATCAATCATTTAATTAGAAGATTATTATCATTTCAGATCATGCAACTACGTAAATTTGGAAATTTTGCAAATATTGTTGATAGAAATATTTAATTTTAGTGTTAATCTTTGATTTTATTGAATAGATCGTATTAATATTAATATTGTCATCGCTATAATTATTACTCTACTTTTGTTTGGTAAGAAATATCTCGATTATAACTTGTTCAAATTTTGTAATTTATTCTCATATATTATTTTGCATGTCAAAGTCATTCTGTATGCATGATTGTTAGTGAGATAAAAATAAAAGTAGAAGAAAAGACATATCTATTCAATCTAGCATGAAATAACGAATTAATAGCAGCAGCAATACATTACCATCAAGAGACTAGAAAATTAATCATTTATTCGCTAGACAAAAAAAAAAGAAACTTTAGATAAGCAAATCGGAGAAGTTACACATACAAAAATGTAATCGATTTTCTCTGCTCTTTGTTTCATTGCGTTACTCTCCTCTAATTTTTATCATTTGTTGATGATATATACACTAGATGTTCTCCCTAGAAGTTTCGATACATGATTAAAGTGAAACAAGCAAATAAAATCTATAACGATACACAATAGAAATTTTCAATAAAAAGAAATACTAAATTTATTCGTGCAAGAACAATTACCGAATATACTGGAATAAATTCAATTAAATACCATATCCATTCAGACACTTAATTTAATTTCGAAAAAGTATATATATACATATAATATACTTGTCGATTAAATTATGCTTTTGAAACTTGCTAAGACCTTTCTTTATTTATATTGACGAATACCAAAAAGAAAAGAGAATTAATGAAAGAAGAAATAGTTATATATTGGGAAAAATCTTATTATAATTACTCTTTTTTTGCTTTTGATGTATTAATACAGCCAAACAGAATAAGTTCTTATATCCATTTGCTAGGCGTCATATGTTTTTTTGTACTGAGTTTTTGTGGACAGTTTAATAAATGTAATGACGATTCGTAATTGTAAGTTTTAACTTATATCGTTTTTGCGTAGTGAAAAAATATATATAATTACTTGATAGCAAAAATGAAAATTCTTTTAGATAATTTAGTATTAAATGGGCTCTGTTGTTTTCAAAGTACTTATTATCAGTCAATTTAAGTACATGAACTATAAATGTAATTTTTTATTGATCATAGCATACGATGAATAGAAGCACTCTTAAATACTTTTAAATATCATTGAAATCTATATTCTGTCGAGTTATTTTATTTCTTTTTTTATTCTATAATCAAATCATCTAAAAACGATTTATTTAATTGTAAAGAAATAAAAAGGAAATTAATCATGATCATCAGGAATAGAGGACATTTTCTTGTTATTTGCATAATTAAATGGTTTGAAGAAACAAAAAAAGAGAAGATGGCAAAAAGGAAAAGAAACATCCGATGAAGAATCCATCTATTCAATGAATAATAACAATTTTCACTCTAGACGATGTTGAATTCATAGAAATCTTCATCGAACTTAAAGAAACTATTAGTTAGTGTAGTTATTCTTCATAAATCCTACATGAACGATGTAATTGAGCACAGAATATCGATCATAATAAAGTAATTCATATATTCTATGATTGTGAAGATATAAGAATCAAGATAGAGCAAAAAGGACGAATTTCACATGTATAACATAGAACTAGAAGAGTTATATATTACAACAAGACATAAAATAATATTGATTTAGTTCTCTAAACCAAATAATAATTGTATGTAAAGCAAATCCTTTTTTTTTCTTTAGATAATCCATTTCACACACATAAATTTATGAATACTTCTACTTATTTCATAATTCTAAAAGTCGATTATATTGCTATGAACAAAAGAGAAAGAAAAATAAGTTTCATTATTTTTATACTTAACTAGAAGTTAATATTTATTTTATTTTACAATCTTTTTCTACTATTAAAGATTTGTCATATAGAAAAAGAATTTATTTGTATTTTTTTGTACGATAATTTCATTTTACACGTTTAGTTGAGCTTATATATTTAACCATATTTTGAAGTAAGACGATGATAATCAGTGATAATTTAGCCTCAAGACATTCTCATCGAACAAAGTTCTCATACTATCAGTCATGATTATAATCAACAAAATGATTTATGTGACAATAAAAATAATCGATTCAGCTTATCATGATTATTGTTATTTTTCTTATATATTTGTAACAACATGAAAGAAAAAAATCGATTTGTTTTTTCTTTTATATATTTTGTAAATTATAGTCCAAGAAAAGAACAAAACACATATCTGAATAAGAGAATATTAAGCATATCTATAGAAAAATCAAGAATTATATTATGTTAATGAATCACTTAGCATAGATAGATGATTCTTTGACATTTGAAAAATAAAGATCCATATCAAATAAGGTAAATAATTATTATATATAGAAAAATTCATGTCGTTTTTTATTAAAAAATTCTACAGAAAAAATATGTCGAAGGAATTTAGTTGCATCAAGTAGGTCAAAATCTAGAAATCTAGAAATAACAAAGATAATGGATAAACATTCTCTTCTTTTCTTGTAAAACTTTGATATATTATCTTTACTTACTTGCAGCCATTACGATGTTTATAAATCAAGCCTCAACAATCTACATCATAGAAATTGACAATTATGTTGATGTCTACGTGCTGTTATAACTAGACATGTGTTTATAGCCGATAGTGAGTAAAATGAAAGGAAGTATTTTCATTCAATACTTCCCATATTGCTACTTCATGAATTCGTTAGACTTTCTAAAGACATCAGTGACAATAACTAAATCTAACTTAGAAGCATCTAAGTTATCATCCACTAATGCATAACTATTTTTTTTAATGTCTTTTTTCTTCATGAGTATACATGAAGATATTTTTAGTTAGAATCAAGACGACCTTTTCTACATCATTAGATTATATTGTTCAATTTCTCATGATTAATCAAGAAAAATTGCAGAGTTTTTCTCTTTTTTTTGATTTACACTAATTTTGTGTATGTTTTCCTCTTGTCTTTATAGTATTTTTTCTAGATTGTATAGTAGAGATTTTTTAGCATCGTCCCATCTCGTTTTCATCGCTTTTTCCTTTTTCTCCTGGTTCTTCTGCTCCGTTTGTTTCTTGGTTTTCTGTTTTGCGTGTGATAGACTCACACAAAAAATAGATACCCTTTAGCTGAGCTTGGAATAGTAATTTTTAAAAGCACCTGATTTTTTTTTCGCCAAGATCGGTCGATAACTTATGAAAATGGGATTCACCTGCCATGCATACATATAGATATATAAATGTGAGATGATCAATTTATAGTTTTATAATAACTCTTACTGTAAGGTGACATTGGTGTGATGACAAAAATGTCATTGCCTATTCATTATATATTTCTCGAATACTCAAAGAGACATTTCTTTGTTGATTCTTGTAAGTCTCGTTTTTTGTTCACTTCTTTCCAGGTTTTGATTGATTCAATTTATCAAGTAAATGAAAGAGAATTATTGTAATAAGCTTTGTTTCTAGATAAAAAAAAAAGAAAAATACTTAACATTTTATTTTAAATAAAAATAACTAATTAGTTTATGGAAACAAATATTTAATAAATGTAATTTGTTTATTTTCAATGTTACTTGATATAAATTCCCTAGAAAAAAAAAGACTTTCAAAATCTCTCCAAAAAGAAAGCGAATACTTTTTTCATATATTTTAGATAAATTGAAGAAAAGAAAACAATGTTTTTAAGTAAAGAAAATATTAATCCATGTATATTGTGCAATGTACTTGCACCAATATTTATCTGTGGTTTTTTTGGTAATATTATTTGTATAATAGTTTTTCTTCGTCGTCGTTTTCGTACACGTTCAATAAGTGTGTATTTCATTGCCTTATTCTTTAATGATTGTTTACTTTTATTTATATCACATATTGCTAAAATGTTAATATTTGATGCATCATCATCATGCTGGTTTAATATTTTTTTATCAAAATTTATTGATATTATCTATTATCGTGAAATGATCTATCGACAAAGTTTAGCGGTGCTTACTTATAATACAACTTATACACAAATTTCCATGCTTATTTTTATGTTTATGTCTATACAACGTGTACGAACATTTTCATCTTTATCATATCGTGAAAGTCGAATGTGTGCACTTATGTTAACATTAATTGCATTTATATATGGAATTATTATATCATATATGCAATTATATGATGCATTTTGTATAGAAAAATTACATTTAACAAAAAATCAAACAGTACAAATTGATTTATTAATTGATAATACAAAGCATATGATTAATACAAAATGTACAACAACAAGAACGACAACAATTTTAACAGATTTCATAAATAATTTAGGTAGAAACAAAAAACAAAAATTAAATTATTTTAGTTTTGTTTATTTTTTTTAAATAAATTTATCTTTAGCAAATAATTCAACGACAAATTTTCCTTTCTCAGTTATATTTTCTCCGACAATTCATTCTATTTCAACATCAACAATGTCAACAAATAGTTATCATCAAACTTCTTTATCATCATTAATTAATAATAATAATGATTCATTTGATGTGAATAGTAATTTAATATGCTATACAGATATAGATTGGCATCGTGTTCGTCATCGTACTATAGCTTATGTTTATCTTCAATCATATATGTCAATTGATTGGCCGGATGAACATGCTCAACGTTCAACATGTCATCTTGAAAGTATTTTACCATCATATCTTCTCACATCTATACATAATTTAACATGGCCGTCATTAAAATCACGTCCTGGTAAAGATTATTTTCATGAACATCAATTTTGTACACAAGCATATCATTTTATTGGTTCATATGCGAATTGTTCAATACCTTTAGCACCTGAAAATTTTCAACATTGGTATAAGTTCTTATATGATCGTCGTTTATCATTAACAAATCGTTATACAATTGGTTTTATAATTGGTACATTCATTCCATCATGTATATGTATAATATCATCATTTATTTGTCTTTATTATATATCAAATCGACCATCTATACGTAAACATAGTCATTCACGTGCTGAACTTCGTTCATTATCTCTTATATTAGTTGAGATATTATTAAGTTTATTGAATGCTTTACAATCCTATATAATAAATTTTTTTACATGCCATCGTTTATTATTTCGTATGGAAACTGATAATTGTTATGGACAATCAAGTAACAATATTTTACCAAATTTTCTTGGAAGCATACTTGAATTATTTACATCAACATCTAATATATTAATTTTAATGATATGTGGTGCACAATTTCGTAATGAACTTATAGGAATTCTTCATTTAAAACAGTTTTTTCCAACAAAGCAACAAAGTCAACAGCCAAATAGATTACATCAACATAAAAGAATTTGTAGGCGTTCAAAAATAAATCCACCCCGTTGCATGACTTTGTCGTTACCATCATCGAAAAATGGAACTAGTAAAATAGACGATATGCTAGATGAACCATCATTAGATTCATTTCTTGCTTCATTTCATAACAAAGAATATTTGAGCGTGACTGAAATTGAACAATCTGATGATATTAGTCATTGTCCTATTAAATCGACTACAGTTTAATTAATATCAAATAGAAGATACATACAAACAAGACTACCCGGCGATGGTAAATGATGCAAAAGCACTTTTCTTTTTCTCTTTTTTTTGTTTATGTTTACATTTGAATGTATAATCGTATATCTATTATATTCACTTTCAATAATTATGCAACATCAAAACAATAATGTTAAAATAGAACTATGTTAAAAATTATATAGAATAAGTTAAAGACAAAAAGATCTTTACTAAAAAAAATGATATTTTAATCAAAGAAATGGGATAAGAACTATGTTGATAAAAGGCAATGAATATTAAGAATCGTTCAAAGTCTCATATTAAAGCAAAATATAAATACCCTGCTAAATAAAAACCATGCGAAGGACTAATAAACCCGTTGGACAATAAGTCGATCTTTTTAGAAGACAAAAAAGATTCGGATCCATTACATTTAAGAAGTATTAAAAGAAAGCAAAGTTCGTATCAAGTACATTGTGTGTCTTGTTTTGTTAATATTTGTGACTGCCAAGAAAAAATCTATTAATTGAAGTAAATTAGAAAGTTTAGGTTCCAAACATACAAGACAAATTAAAACTAAATGAAGCAATATGATTAGTGTTTTCACGGAACAAATCAATTGGATCGTCTGTCGTGTTTGATCACTTCTACAAGCTTAGACTTGGAAAGTAACTATAAGCATTAGTTTACTTCATAGAAAAATGGAAGTTTCAGTTCATGTCAATTATTATAATCCTAAACGTAATACGATTTTCCATGTAAGAAAGCAAACGTATTTACAAATAAATTTTAGATTGAAATAGAAGAATAAAACTTATGACAAGAAGCTACAAAAATTAACGATGACCGGTATTTGTGTATATCTGTAATAAAACATGTAAATTAAGTAGTTTATTGATTATAGCACAAAAGTTTGTTCTTATGAAACATGATCTAATAGAAATGTTGCACTATATAGAGTAGAGAAATGACAATTGTCCCCTCACAGACTCTTACAAATATTATCATGAAAATGTCACAGACTTTGATGGATGGAATCGATAGATATGTTAGATACAACTCATCACATAGATGACTGACATTGTAGCAGGGCCATATCACAGACTTGACAAACATTCCTAGCGGCGTCTCTCCTTTATCATAGACCGTGACAAACATCTTAGCAATACTTCGTCTCCTCCTTCCATTCCGCGTCACAGATGGTGACAGATGTTATTAATGCACGATCAAAGATCGTACGCCAATAACAACTCGTTATACTACATGAACTACTTCTTTATAGCATTTCTGTAAGATTAAGCAAAAGGATGGTAAAGAAATGTGTCCCAAAATAGATAGAATAAAATAATATTTTCCTGATTTGCAGCAACAGCTGCATCTTGTTTTACATTTTAATCCCTCAGGGTTACGCTAACAGCATTTTTAATCAATAAGAGCTATTTGCATATGAATGATGTTGGATTAATACATAATAGAAAACGATTACAGTGTATTTCAGTTTATAATACTCTCCTGCAATCTAAATTCTTGATCTTGTATCAAACAAAAAAAGGTTTTAATGATTATTTTTCCGTGTATACCATTCACACGTTATTCTTCATCTGAATTCCTACTATCTCATATAATATAATCCGAAAAATTCTGCCATCGACAAATCGGAATTATCTTTATCAAGTCTTCAACAATTATCATGCGATATTTCATCAGATTTATAAAAAAAACATTTCACCTTTATCTTCATCTACTATTATATTCGAGATGGACACATTCAATTTACTTGTCTTTATATAACAGATCAAAATACAAATTTTTGAGAGCAATATATTAATCATATCGAATTTCAACAAGTAAATGCTAAAAATTTATTTTATTTTGTTTAATCGAGGCATTCATCATTAATATTACAATAAAAATCGATTGAAACCATTCATAAATATTTCGTTGAAGAATCAACAAAAATATAAATACGAACAATGTCTTCATCAACTTGATGATGCTTTGAGTGTAATTGTTACAAACAATGAAGAAGCATCAACAGATAAATAAAGGTCAAATGACCAATATTCGACAACCATCATAATCAGTGTGCTTCCTATAGTTCTTTGTTTTATATTGTAAATGAAGTTCTCTTATTTGAGTATCTTGATAAATAGATAAATTATTATTGATTGTATTCTAAATACTGAACTGAACACATTACTTCTATTCATATCGTAATCATCGAAGGTTCCTCTACCCCTGAAAAATTGATTTTGGACTAAATAGATTCACACCTCATGAAATTTTCAGAACATATTCGGGCTGTAGTGAAGATGGTATGCTGAAATGTTCAGCCCAATACCATGATGTTTTCACGAGATATTTAAATAACAAGGGTTCAAAATAGCCCATTTGACAACTTGAAATTCTCTGAGTACTTTCATTCTATATACTTAACTCTGTGTTTTTTTGAAAGATCATCTAATGTCTATAAAAAGACTAAAACAAATGGCACTCTAACTATAAAGGTGCTCTTTTATCTGATAGCAGCTGAGCTTAATTAAAAAAAGAGACTTCATTATTATGCCCTGCATGTTGATATTATCTTTCAAAAAAAACCTATTAGCTCTAGTAAAACTTCTTCGAGAACTCTAGCACGCGCGATCAGAAATACCGAAATAGCATATGTTCATAAGAATGGAAACTTTCCCACTCTAACTTTCTTCAAACCACAGAACCACTTCATTTCTTTTAACCCTTATAATCTATTTACTCCCTTTAGTCTTTCAAGTCTGTTTAGTTTGCCTGAGGGCTAATGCGAAGATGACTTTCGAGGTGATGATGAATGTAAAGTTATGATTGAGCTTGTGAGTGGGCGCTTGGAAGAAATGATATGAAAAGATGGAATGGATTAAAGGACCTGAAAGGACTAAAGAAATAAAGGAACTAAAAGGATTATGGAATATCGAGAAAGTCAAATCGAAAAACCTGCTGTCTTGTAAACCAATCCCAAACAGAGAAAAAGCGAAAACGATTTTTCATATTATCTGGAAAAAAACATATTTTCCAAGCAAAACGTGACACAAAGTTTTTAGATAAAATGATGTACCAAATAAAAAAACATGTTGTTTATGAAAGATCAGACCTCCGGCTGTCTTTCGTTGCATTTACTTCAATTTCCATATTTTTGACGAAATTTCTTTTTTGAAAAGTTCCTTAAGAAAAGAATTTTATGCCGGATTAATTAATTATATTTACTAAACAAAATATTACCTGTTTCAAATGATACTATCCATGTAGATCCTAGCTAGATAGATATATGCCTGCATGCTTTTAAAGATAAGTAAAATCAAAAATTGTAAGTTATAAGGCAAAAATATGGCAGTTTTTAAAATACGAAATTACTTCATAAAACTTTCCAATTAAATATATCATTGAAAAATTTTCTTGTTTTTTCTAAATTAATAAATGTCATTACAAATTTTGTTGTCTTTCAAAGTAACTGATGTGTTTAAATTTCTCCATATCTTCGATATTGTTGTTCATTTAGTTTCTGGCATGCCATACACTGTTCTCCATTTGTAGGTCCACAATATCCATCCGTTCTTTGATCATGTGTCATTACCAATCGACCACAATAAAATTTTGCTGGTACTACTCGGCTATATCTGGCCGATGCCCCATCACGATTAACTAACCATCCATGTGGTAACTGCCGTTTTTGAACATCAAGCAACATACATCCCGAACAATTACAACCATTTGATGGTCCACATCGACCATTACAACATGAACATCGAAAACCATCTAATTCACCACCACAATAAAACTTACCGGTACTACCTAAACGTGCATACCGACCAAACTTATTTTGTGTTCTTTCAATTCGATCATCAAACACGGCATCATTGATAGGTGCAGGTGCATCAACAAGAACTAGACAAATAGTATTATCGTTTTAAAAGTGACAACACATAAAATATAAATAATATCTTACCTTGTGGTTTTTCATTTGATTGTAAGATGGTCATTGTTTCAATATTTTCTTGTTTCTGCCATAATTTTTCATAATTATCAAGTAAAAATTGTTTATGTTTATTTGTTAAATGTTCGAGAAAAAACTTTTTTGCACATTTAAGATAATGACATTCTGGATCAGGGCAAGTCATTGGACTATAATCACAGCCAACAGCTAGATGATTAGCTAAATTTGAACGACTAACTTTAATTGTACAACCATCATTAGAGCATGGCACAGTCAAATTACCAATGAGACGACGAGCAAAGTAAGCAGGAAGTGTTTGATAATTTTCCTCACGGCAAGTAGGACATGATTGGACATTTTCAATACAAGGTAAGCAAAACAGTTGATGGCAACAAGATGTTTCTACCGCATTATCTGATGAGGCTACATCCAAACAAATTGCACAAGTCAGCGAAAGATTTATAGTATCAGTGTCGACCATTTTGATTCTATAAAAAGTATTATATAGACTATGTTAATAAAATATGTGTAATCTAAAGAGAAAAAGATAAAAAAACAATGGCAAAAGAAAGAAAAAATTTTTTTTTTCATTGTATAGGTTTATTAATTTTACAAAAGACTCTTACTTTTTGCGCAGTATGTTGGTTTTACTAGAAAAAAAAAAGAAAAGTTGAATGAAAAAAACTACACAAATAAGCAGAGAACAGGAAAAAATGACAAACGAATAGTAATGTAGTAAACATGACGTCAGGATAAACACGTGGAAGAGGTGAAAAAAAGAGCCAACAATCAATCGTTTCGATTTTGAATAATGTAAAGTAAAATTCGATTCCGTCCTTGCATATTTCTGTTCTCACATGTTTCGATACTTGCCAAAACTGATATTAACAGTTTATGTATATGAGATGTTTTGGTCTACTCTATACTATTATTAAAGAGATAAAAATAATGTGAAAATTCATAGAAACTTTTGATTATTTTTCTAGCAATAACAAGCGATACATAAGGGTGTGGATGTGGGTGTGGGTGTGGTTCGTCTCTACATCTACACCTACCCACACCCACACCCTAGCATATCTAAAAACGAGTTACAAAACCAAACCATATATTGGTTGGTGCAGAACTTGACGGTTAATATTTTGATTAAGAAGAGTGTTTCAATCACTGAGAGAAATTTTGAAAATAGTAACACTATTAATTTGAACGCAGTGTCTGTTGTTTCGAAGATATAATCAAAAATTTCTATGAATTTTTACGTTCCCTTTATTTGCGTAATAATAATAAGTAAAAAGCTCAAATTCTAGCATAGAGTAAATCTAGAGATCTAGTACCATGTAGAAAAAAAGTTATAAGAATAGATTAAAAATCAATTATAATGGCACGACTAAAGTCTGAATAAAATCAGATTATACTAATGCCATTATAATCAATTTTTAATCTGATTTTTAACCCTTTTTACATAGGTATATGTTAGGCAAAGTTGAGATTTCGGCAAAATTAAAAAAAAAATGTTCAAAGGTTCAAAAACAAAAAAAGAAACCGGAAACGATCAAAACAAAGAACTGATCTTATTCAGTAGCCGCAAAAAGTCGCATTACCAGGGGAAAATTGTCTAAGCTTTAGTCGTTTAGTCAACATATATTTTTTCTTCAGATGAAGACATCTCAATAAAGAAAAAAAATCTCATAACGTTTAGATTCCTCATTTGACGGCTTAGCACTGTCTCTATCAACAAAAAAAACTTGATGCCAAACAATTTTTTTATATAATTTATGAAGTATTCTTTGAGTAATCTCCATAAGACAGTTGATGAGAACCGTCGAGAAGTGATCTATTTCATTGGTTAATTTCAATCATTTACCTTGAAGTTTTCTCCATTGAGTGTCCTGCTCTAGTCAAAGTTTCCCTCAAAATTTTGTGATTGCAACCATCGATGGAGCAGAGAACCATGCTAAGATCATCCCAGACAATGCAGGCTTTCCCGTGTCTCAAGATTGCAATGTATTGAAGTGTCAAAAAAGCCTTTTTTGGGCTCTAAAGAAAAAAAACAAATGTTTTCATTGGAAACCGTTTACATTAATGACTATTGGCCTTGTGTAACTGCCTGCAATCAGGGTTTAACAAGCTCTATTTGTAGTCAAAATATCAGACAAGATGATTGCAGTTTATATACCTGTGATCCAGTAGCGGGACTTCTTGTGATAACTGTATATTGAAGGTGCCCGCAGCGCGAAATTAAAGTAAAATTTTTTTTGACGTTTTTTATATCATCTGATAGAGTTTGAGCTGCTGATCATGAAAATCTACTTTTTAGCCTTAGTGAATGCTTCCTTCCGGTCGAAAAATACGAAATACTCCAAAGGGATCGTTTTCTTCAAAAAACACATTTTTCCAAAATGTGCGAAATTTTCTACTTCATTCTTTTCTTTAGCTTCTGAAGATAATTTTTTCAGATTCAGAATCAAAAACGGAGTACAAATAAGTTGTTAAGTCGACTCTAGACCCAAAACTCTATTTGTGATGACGCTTCGAATTTTGTCGTCTATGATGCGTATAGGTCGATTTTGTAAACCTATCTAGTTTTTCTATGTAAACAATGGAGTCAATTCTTTTATCTCATTTCATTCATCATACCAACTGTCATCAAACTACGTGTTCTTTTTTTCCTTTACTTTCCTGTGTTGAGAACAATCGTTTTTATTGGTATCATAGCAATTTTAGATGGTATTCAACAGTTTTCGAATTCAAAGAAGACTTTTAGTCACAAACTAAATACAGATTCTGAATCAGCACAAAAACCTGAGTCAAATGAAGTGTCTTTCAAGTTAATTTGACGACTTCCATTTTTTCGGGTATCGTCGGAGGACCGAAATTGTTGTATACGGGTCAAAAAATGGAAGTCGTCAAATTAACTTGAAAGACACTTCATTTGACTCAGG